GACGACTCAGAGAGAGAGAGAGGACGACTCCGAGGCGCCAGGAAGAGGAACCACAGACGAGCGGAAAGGCAGCAGCAGTCACGTAGCGAGGAGCCGCCACCAACTCAAGGAGGTGCACTGCTCACCACAGGAGAAAACCAAACGCTGTCCAACATGTTCTTCGCACGCGCCACATTTTGAACATACATTGGTGGAAGAAAATTAAATAGTAATGTAAAAAAAAACATTTTAAAAACGAATTATTGAATGCTGCTGCTGCGTAGTCAGTGGAGCACAATCGCAAACAACAAGAAAATGTATATATCATAGGCGACGTTTCGGGCAATGGCCCTTCTTCATAGCACAGAGAGAGATCGGGCAAGTTGAGCCGAGTGTGGCACCACAGGCGTATCGGGAGGGGACAAAAATATTCCAAACGATCCCTTGAGAACAAACAGAAATGAAAATCGATCAATGTCTACGATGCATCGCTGGAAACAAACATCTTCAAAGCTGACGATTGATTGTGCCAATTATCAATACATCTTGAAGTGGGACGCAAAATATTTCTCAACTCCATCATCATCAATCATCCCGAGATCTATCCACTGCTGGATGAAGCCCTCCCCCTCCCCCCCCCCCCCCCGCAAGCTGTCGCTATCTCTTACGATCCTGCTTTGTAATGACCCACCTGAATCTTTACGAGCGGAGCTCATTTCGTCGCTCCATCTCCCGAAGCTGTGGTGGTCTCTCCTCTCCCGACTCCGCGTGTGTTGCACTGGGCCCGCCGCTCCGTGCTGAGTCTCGACCGTGCGGCCGTCATGACGTAAACAAAACGTGCCAATTCGTTAACTATTCTAGATTTAAAGCTTTCGTGACTGTCCTCCAGACAGTCTCGTCCCTTCACCTGATGAAGGCCGCTTGTGTTGTGGCCGAAACGTCGTGATTTTTGTTATTTAATTTTTTACCTACGTGACTTTACCCAATAGAACCAAAGAGTATGAATTCGTTAACTAGTTCAGCACACCGATGTGTCGGAGAGTAAACCCACAACATTGACAATTGGGATTCAACAATCCGTCTCTGCCATCTCATGCAGAGCAATCTCACACCGCCCAAGCATTCACGATCTGCAATGTCCAGGACTGGGCATGACTGATCCAATTACTAACCAGGCTCAAACTGCTTTGGCTTGTACGAGAGAACACGATTGGTTTACTTTCCAGACAGGTGATTTGAATGTGTAATGTCTCCAATATTAATATGGACTATATCTATATATATAAGGGAAATGTGTGAATGTGTGTCTGTTCGAAATGTTTAGCATACTTCCAAACATGCAACAAACTTGAAATTTGGCATGTCGGTAGCTTCCAGACTGTACACAATGCAAAAAAAGTCTAAAAGTAGACTTTTGTATTTGGGGGGGGGGGGGTACAATAATGTATATGTTTTGCACGGCAAGTGAGCGGTGACGTCACACCTGTGATGTCACCCGCATGCGGCAGCATCACACAGTGTGCCTGCTGACGTCACGCATCCCCCCCCCCACCCTCCGCGTAGGCCGTGTATTAATCCAAGACAAGAATCCAAGTCTCGGGCGAAGCCGGGTAGTCAAGCTAGTTTTATATATATTTGTAAGGCCAGTACGGGGTGATGTAGGGACAGTACGGCTCCCCGTGGCCATGGTTACTAATTAACATAATGGGAACAGACAGGGTCACGTTAGGGTAACGTGGGACCTGAGTGGTCGCTAACGATGATTGACGCGACAAGCGTTGACAGGGTTGCGTGAGAGGAAGCACGTGACCTAACGGTCGTAAATTGTAATAAGGGCAGAGACAGACAGGGCCAGGTGCGGTGAGAGAGGGTTCGGGAATAGGGGCGTGGCCGGGTCGTGAGGATGATAAAAGCCGGCGTGAACCGGGGCTCTGGGCTGCTGTAGTGGGGGCACTGCCGTCGCCATCGTCACCTCGGAGCGGGTCGTCTTCATCGTCCTGGAGTGTGCACCTTGTAGTTTTGGAAGGCTTAGAGTTACGTTGTCTTAGAATAGAGCTACCTAAGTTAGCAAAGTGTATATGGTCACTCGCGGTCACTCGTTAAGTTATCAGTGAGTCGGCGGACTTTATTCATAATCAATATACATATAACTGAACAAGACGGTGTCTCTGAGAGCTACATTACATATATATAGACTATGCATATGTCCACGTGTACGAGAAGAGGTGTTTTTACGATTTTCGAAATAATCCTGAAAAATCCGTCAATTGAGTCCAGATGCAAAATGCGGAACACATCCGCGTTTTTTAATTTGAGTTGAATCCGAAGGTCGTGACGCCACAACGAGTGATGTCACCTCGCGTGACGTTCACTTATGTTGCGAATCTGGCGCGCGCCACGTGCCATCGGACTTTGTTTTTTTGACGTCGCCTTTGTGAGCACCGCGGAGACGCGCCGCGTTCAATCACTCCGTAATGCACGTGATCTGGGGGAAAACAAACCCCCCCCCTCCCCCCCCCATCTGAAATTGTTCTTTAAAAAAAATCTGATTATTTGTAAATCGAACTCATCTGTAGTATATATATAGAGCTCATATATAAAACAGATCGTTAGCCTGGATAGTGTTTGGATGGGTGGGCGGGCGAGCGTCGTTGCACAAAACACCCGCGTGTCCTCGGTTGCTGCGCCGGCAATGAAAGAGCTGCGGTTTTTAAAGGTCACGTGCACGGACACGCAACAAACACAGGTCACGTGCACGGACACACAACAAACACAGGTCACGTGCACGGACACACAATAAACACACATCTCACCTCCTCTGCTGCTCGTCGCCCTTTCAGTAATCATTAACCCCCCTCCCACACCCCTGCCCGCAGAGGTGATGAGCCACAGTCCATTGTCAGGGGAAATCTAGGCCACCCCGCTCCATTTGGACAGCAAGCCTTACTGCTGATGAGACACTGTGTTGACAAAACCGGTCCAGAGTAGTTTTTTGTTGTTGCTGCTGCTAGGTTTGTATTTAAACATTGCTGATGAAATGATGCCCTCCCCGGAAGGGAAGGCAAGTATGTGTAAGAAATAAATGATTATATTATTTAGTATTACGTGGAGAGACTTGGATTTTGTGGAGATGGATTTTTGTCTGGGTATCTATTTTACGACACTCGACCGTTTGAAAACCAGTGTGAGATATCATTATTGTAATCATTATTATGATATATACACTGCTGGGTGAAAGCCTCCCAAAGCCTTCGCCAGCCTTCGACAATCCATCCAGCTTCTGCACGTGTCGTGAGTTCTTATGGAGACGTTGTCGTAGAGGCAACACGGTTTATTGTTTAACTAACAGACAACTCCCTTAACATCCCTTATCTAGGGAGGTACAGCCTCCGGGCTAACGTGACTCACACACTGCCAACTCAACCCTTAGCCCTCCGGCTATCAGTGCCCAAGGGGAGGATATCTTACCCGACCCAGCCAAGGTATGGGTCCGACCACTGGTCCAAGCTCGACCCGGCCCTTACAAGGGCAGCAGGCTCGGGGTCCTAGGGTCCTAGTCTCGCTGCTCTTCAGTCTTCGTAGCACTGCCCCGAGCTGTACTTGGGGTGCCCCTTTTATACACCTCCAGGGGACCCTCCGCCCCTGGTACCGCCCCCTTTCTGAAACCTTCCAGAAGATCCTGGAAGGGCCCCCTCTCCCAGCCCCCCCACCTGGGGTAGGGGAGGGGAACCCAGCCTCCCTTGGGTCCGGCTCCCTCTCTATCCCCTCGTACTGGCAAGCACACCCTACAGACCTCTGGCTGCAACTGCAGGTAAGTGGATACAGGCGGTGTGTGCATACGCGATTCCGACGCTACACATGGGCCGGCACCACCAACAATTGGCCAAGCTCCGTGGTCCTCGACATATCAAGATGTTTCCAGCACATCGAATGAGTGTTTATACACGCGGGTAGGAAATGGTTTCAGCTGGAGAAAACCCCACGCGCGCGAGGAGGGTAAACACTCCCCATACAGACGGAAAAAGATGGGAGATTAGTTTGCACTTGTGTACTGCCTTATCTGGCCAGCAAGGGTATGGCACCTCAATGCCCACGGGTAGAATGGGGATTTACACCATCTGAGTGTGATCCATCAACCCTGGCCGCTTCCTCCGCTCGTGCTGGATTACAACCACGTGCAGCGTCGCCAGCGCTGCCTTGGTAATGTCCCGCCCAGGTCCACGTACCGTTCTCAAAGGTCAGTGTGACGCATTCGACTTGCAGAGTCACTGCTGGCACTCACGATGCTGCTAAGCAACGTAGATTTGTGAACAACAAAATAAAACACTCGGGGTTTTGGGTCATAGTGTCCGGATGTCACGAACGCGTTCCCACGTTTACCCTCCGCTGCAACGGTTGTCTTGCCATGTGTGTGCATTGCCATGTGTGTGCTTGGCCATGTATATGCGTTACCATGTGTGTGTTACCACAAAGGTAGCTGGGGGTGGTGCTGGCCACCCACACCCTTGTGTGCCGTGCCGGCCTTCATAGGTGCTCGCTAACAGCACTTGCCCCAAGTATGTTAAAAGCTACATGGGGGATCTTTGTCTTCGTGTTACCATGTGGGGAGCGGTAGTTCAGTGGTTAGCGCGCTGTGCAATGAACCCGGCCACCCGCGTTCGATTCCCGCTCACGGTCAACACCAGTGCGATTATCTGAACCGGTCATGGGCCTCCCTTAGGCCGACTCAGCCTCAAATGAGTACCTGGTGCGGTGTGTAAACATCGCCATTGGGGAGACAAAGGCGGTCGGGTGTAGTGTTGGCTACCCACCCCATCGTGTACTGTTCCAGCCTTCATAGGTGCTCGCAAGCAGCGCTTTGTCTTTGTGTGACCATGCATTGTTGTGTTACCACAAGGGGCAAGCAGAGAGGGTTATTGAGGAGCGGTGGTGACCACACAGAAGCCACGTGATTTACGGGAGGCTAGAGTTGATTTCAGACGCAGAGACGCGAGAGGCCACGCAACGCAGTGGGAACTTGGGCTGCGAAACGTTTTTGCAACTTTATTGTCATTGTAAAAAGAAGAAAAAATCGTTCCGATTAAAAACGACACATCTGTCAAAGTCACCAGATGATTTTCCTCTTGGGGGTAAACACGCCTTCGAACATCCAGCCAGACGCGTCCAGCAAGCGCCAAAAGGTCTTAGCCCGCGTGGCTGTGAGAATCATTCTTCAGCTCGCCGCCAGTGAGCGAGCTGAAACGATCAAGAATATTGGCACGTCGTTCACTTCCGACGCTCGTACACCCACGTAGAAATGTTCTTCCGTTTGGCCCGCTGTGCTGGAGGGGTTTCATACAACACGAATTTGGCCAGATCCGTTTACGTGGCCTAACGCGAACGACAAAAAAATGTGATCGTGCGTGGGCCTCAAATAATTGGGGAGGAATAGAATGAAAACGCATTTTTTGTGTGAAAAGTCGTCTTTATGACCAAGGGGAAAGAGAAGACCCTGAGACCAGATGGTGGGGTACACTTAGGGCGGGAACATGAGAGGTCGCCGCGTATCTCCTGTGCCCGCTGCAGCTGTGGGATCTGACCAGAGGGCGAGAACGTATTGCCGAGGTGTGGTGGCCATCGGCGGCTGAAGTTCAACAGAGGAGCTGTCCGAGGCTGAGCTGTGAAAAATATTTCCTTGCTCCCGCGTTCATCTCCACCCAAGCCATTCCGTTTTCCGCGGGAGGCACGGGGGAGGGGGCTGGCGCAGAAAGTGTTCCATGACCATCTAAGCCCTGGGATTTGCATCAACAGTTCTGGCCACGGCGAGACCTCCGAAGTCTCCGCGCACGTCGGCGCTTCGCACCGCGCTACGGAGAACGCCCCGTTGCCTGCGAAACGCCGCTCATCGCACGCCTTGTCATTCCTTGCAAAAGCCACAGTGTCATCGACGCGACCCGTTGAAATTTTTTTCTTCATTACGCAACAAGCCCCCTTTAAATAAAGAGAATAAAAATACACGACGGCTCACCTGCGCGTCGCGAGCCCCGCGGCACCGTCGGTCGCTGCCGCCGCGAGCGCCGCTTCACGGCCGCTGTTTTTAATTCGACCAGGTAAGGCCCCACTGAGCTGTGCAGCTCCATTTCAGAAGCGACCTGGCGATCGCAGATGGCAGCTCAACGGAGAGGGCTCATCGCGTGGAAATTTACAGCAGCCAAATACTCTCGACGCACGTTGGAGCCCGCATGTGGATGGGAAAACCGGAGGAAAAATCCACGCGACCGCGGGGAGAGAGACACGCAAACTCCTAATATACAGCAGGCGTCAGGGTCGGGATCGTCCCCACGACCTCCTGTACAGCAGGCGAGGCGGTAAACATCTCGCCACCGCGGCGCCCAGTCGTCGCCGCCGCCTTTGGCGGCGCCGGTTACATTTGCCCGACGACCAACGTCCACATCCCCAGGCACACGTTGCCTGCCAGCAGGGCGGTGCCACCCAGCAGCACCAAGGAGGCGACGCGTTCGTGCCCCGTCAGCACCAGCTCCAGCAGCGCCGTCAGGATCCACTGTCCGTCGAGGGCGAAGCATGGGACTGAGTTCACCAGCGCCAGCGCTCCCGACAGCGACACCAGGTACCTGGGTGGTGGTGGCGGTAGTAGTAGCAGAGAACCGTGTTCATGTATGTATGCTGATACTTTTTTCGCAGCGTACATAGCCAAACCGTGCGAATCAGGGGTGCCGGGGGAAGGACAACAAACTAAACACAAAAAGCGGTTCTGCAAAAAACGAGTATTCAATTTAGATTTAAAAGTGTATAGCTACAGTGGCTTCCCAATATTGGAAGAGCGTTCCAGACGGCCGCAGAAGCGCATCCGAAAGTGCGCGATGCGGTGACAGTCTTTGTTCGAAGGTTAGCCAGGAGCCGCTGCGAGGATGACCACAGTTTGCGTGATGCTTTATGCTCCTTGACGAGATCAGCAAAGGTTTTGTGACTCATTTGTGGGTGGCCGGGTGACACAGGTGTCAGAGCGCCGGCTGGCACCGCTGACAGCCTGGGTTAGAATCTGGGTTTGAGCCACACAAGCGAAGGTAATAAACCGGGTCCTCGAGTGTAGTGGGCTGATGGTCTCAATCTAGTCTGTCTGGCCATGCAGCCATTTTCACACTCATTCATCTAGCCCCTAACTCACCCACTCACTCACTCACCCAGTCACTTAAAAACACACCCACCTACACACTCACTAATTCGCCCACACAACCGCCCGCTCACCCGCCCGCCTGCCCACCGACTCACCAACTCTCTCACTCACCCACCCGCTCACTTGGCCACCTAATGTACTGTGAACTTACTTGCAGAAAGTTTCCAGCATGGGAGGCAGGTGTATGGAGAGGAAGGTGAATCTCGGGACGTAGTCGCTCATCGTGACTGGGGGTGGTATGAGAGAGAATCTCATTACAAAATAATATCAACAGATTTTACATAAAAAAGTAATAGCATCTCACTGGAAGTGCCTCTGTAACATTAATAGCTTCTTGCTTTGAGCGAGCACAGCTATTTGGGTAGATGTGCCCGTGAATGCACGCACGTGTGTGAGTGGTGTGTGTGTGTGTGCCTGTGTGTGTAGAGCAGTAGTGTAGCGGTTAGCCGCTCTGCGCCACGAGCCTGGCGACCCGAGTTCGATTCACGCTCACGGCCATCACCAGTGACGATTATCTGAACCAGTCCTGGGCCTCCCCTAGGTCGACATAGCCTGAAATGAGTACCTGGTGCATCACCACTGGGGAGGTAAAGGCGGCCGGGCGTGGTGCTGGCCACCCACCTCATGTGCCGTGCCGACCTTCATAGGTGCTCACTAACAGCAATTGCTCCTACAGTCTGTTGAGGTTATACGGGGAATCTTTGTCTTTGTGTAGCCGTGGTGTTGGCCACCCCACCCACTCGTGTGCCGTGCCGGTCGCCCTTCATAGACGCTACTCACTAACAGCAGTTGCCCAACAGTCTGTTAAGGCTACAATGGGGGTATTTGTCTTTGAAGCGATGTATGTGTGTGTGCAATGTGATGCATGCGTGTGTAATTGTGCGAGGTGTGTATAATGTATTGTAATTGTGCGTACCTAATCGTGTGCGAGCGTGCCCAATCGTGTGTGCGCGAGCATAATTCTGCGTGTAATTGTATCCATTTATGATTGCGCGCACGTTTTGATTTGGCGTGTGTGTGTAATCGTGAGTCTTTAATATGGCATGTGTAACGTCGTGTGTGTGTGTGTGTGTGGCCTCGGTGAGTGCGAGTTGCGTGTGTGTTCAATGCGGTGTGTGCGTGTAATTGTGTGTGTCATTGTACGTGAGCAATGCGGTGTGTGTTAATGCGAGTAGTGTTAAGGTCAGCGCGCCACATTACCACTGCGATACCTTGCGCGCAATACACGACCGCGACTGTACATCTGTGAAAAAGAGCTTCAAAGCGCATCGGATTCCCTGCCGTCTAAATAAACACGCCGATTCCGAATATATATTTATAAAACATCCCTAATAGGTGGACAATATTGGTCGCGAAAGCCTACGGCTCAAAACGACGTGTATACAAAAGAAACGCAACATTTTTAGGAACGTTATTATCTGTTGGAATTTCGTGTCGGTAAAGCCGACCCGAGTAGAGCGGCTGCAGGGGGTGCCCCACGTAGAGCGTGTGGGGTCGCGGCGCGTGCACCACGCGCAGTAGCCGCGTGCCGTTCCCCAGCGCCGGACACACGCACAGCGCGCCGGCGTCGCCGCCACCGCCGCCCTCTCCTCCGGCCGCCGCCGCCGCCGCCGCCGCCGCTCCCCGGCAATCCGCATTGCTCCCGCACGCCCGGCTCTCGCCCAGCACCCTGCGCACCGACAGGCACGCGTACTGCCCACACACGTGGGCACGCGCAGACGATGACGAGATGATGACGACGACGACGGTGGTGGTGGCGGTGGTGGTGATGGCGATGGTGGCGATGGTGGTTCTGTGATGCTGATGATAGTGATGATGAATATTCCATTCATGACGACGTTGACGGTCGATCGTTGATGATGATGATGATGATCGTGCTGATGGTGATGATGATCGTGATGAAGATGATGGTGGTGATGATGATGTACCTTCGTGGTGTAATCCTTCGCGTTGGAAGAGGAGTAGGAGTAGGAGAAGCAGAGGTCGGTCTCGCTGCCGTTCCGACAGCACTCAACGCTCCCGTCTTCCCGGCGGTACACTACGGCACAACGGCAAATGGACGTGTGAAAAAGAGCTTCGCGGCTCGTCGGATTCCACCAGCCCAAATAAAGATTCTTCTTCGGAAATGTGTTGAGATGAGATGCGACGCAAGTCGCTCATCGTGTGTGCAGCTTTCTCTTGAGACACCGTGGTGTACAGGGGAGGGAGGCTCTTCCAAAACGAATCACAATGATGATTATCGTTTAACAAGTCGGCTTTTGTGACCAATATTATCCATAATAAAGGATATTTTTTGTTTCATTTAGGACCGAAACACGGAGACTTCTTCGCAATTTTGGCAAAATCGCCTGATGAAGCTGGTTGTAATCACCAGCCAAATTTCGTACTCAAATGTTAAATGTTGCGGGTTGACTCTCCGACACAGCGGTGTGCTCGTAACTAATTGGCACGTTCTGTTTAGTGACAAACCTTACTAATTGGCTGTGTCGGGTCGCGGCGGGTTTAATGACGCATTCATATTTGCGCGATCTAACACCCAAACAAATACAAATGTATCGTGGATTATTATCGCCATCGTGACCACCATCATCATCATCATCATCTGTCGCAAAGGCAGTCGTGGTCATGCCCAACCTCACCAGATGCGGGCCGCTGCAGCAGCAGGAGGTGCAGGCCGGCGCTCGACAGGCAGAAGCCCTGCGGCGGTCTGGCCGCCTCCTCTACCAGGCAGCCGGCCCAGCGCGCGGCTCCGGCCACGCTGCACTCGCCCACCGTCGTGACCACGTCGCCCACGCGCAGGCCCAGCCCGCCGCCCACACCAGAGTCCTGCGCTCGGTGTACGGTGGTGGGGGTGGCGGGCGGTGGGGGCGGGGGGGGGGGTCAAGAGGTCTATTTAAACTAAAAACGTATTTTTATTTTACCACGTTTAAGGCCCCACCTAGCTATCTTAGCTCTTTTTTTCAGAAGCCGCAAATGACAGCTCAACGGAAGTGACTTGTCATCACGTGGACATAACGCGCGTTGTTGATTCTAAATGTGGAGGGAAAAAACCGGGGGAGCCGGAGAAAAATCCCCGCGACCACGGGGAGAGAGGCGCAAACTCCAAACATGCAGCAGGCGTCAGGGTCGGGATCGAACCGACGACCTCCTGTATACCAGGCGAGGTAGCTAACGTCTCGCCACCGTGGCGTCAACCAGGCGATCGGTCGGTCGATCGATCGATCTATCGATTTATCTGTAACAACGTTGACGGCGTTCTTTGATAGACACTGATAATTACCATCAGTTATTTATCCACAAAAGCCTCGTCAAGTCAAAGGACTTTTGTTCAGGAGGGTCCTTTCTGAGATGCCCCAGCGTTCAGGAGGGCGTCTCCTTCAAACACAACTCATTATCATTATTATTATTATTTTAATTGGCCACGACACATTGTCAAATTGCGTCCAAGATGCCAGACGCTCGCGTTGCTCGGCGCTCTGTGAAAGTCCGGCTGCGTGACGCCACATCCCCGGGTCACAAACTCTCGCTACGATTGTGTGAGAGGTGGGGGGGGGCTGTGGGGGCGGTGTGGGGGGGGGCAGACGGTGACTGTGAGCGCTCGTGCGAGGAGCCTAATGAGCAGGTGAGGGCCAACAGCCGGCCGAGTGAGAAATCGCAAGTGCTTACTGAAATTATTATTCAAAACACTCAACGCATTCGTCAATGACACCGTGTGGCCGTCAAGGATAACTATGTAGCAGGCTATATTTCAGCCAATAGCTTCTTCTTCACAACACGTAGAGAGGCTGGAGAGGCAGAGAAGATGCTGCTTGTAATGACCGGCGTAAACGATTGTTAAACGTGTGTTGATCGCTCTCCAACAGCAACAACAGTATAGCTGCTGCAGCGGTAAAAAAAATTGGCCACGTTTGTTCATCACGTGACAATTTTATTAATCGGCCGTGTCGGGTGGAGGAGGAGGTTGTACGTCACACATTTGACTAAAAAACAAAGTTACGAATCATCTAGGAATCACGTTTTACTAATCGTCGTTATTCTTATTATTACAGACGATGAAGTGAAACTTAGGAAGAGACACGGACGATGCACCTCAACCACGGCCGTGACGAGGGCCCCGGCGCCGGTCCGGTAGAACAGCGCCAGCGCCCAGGGCATGAGCAGCAGCGCCAGCGCGGCCACCACCACCAGCACAAAGTTGTGCCAAACACCTGTCACGCAGCACACGTGCGTCATCATCATCATCATCACCGTCGGCCGTGGTCTATCCATCCGGCTCCCGATTTTGTGGCTCCATCTCCGTAGTGGGCATCCACTAGCCGTGCCTTGTCCATGTGTGTTACCAACCGGTAAGGTAGCTTAGCGGTAGAGCTAGTGGCTCGCAGTCCAAAGGTCGCGAGTTCAAATCCTAGTTCGGCGGCGTTGACAACAAAATCAGTACCGCTTCATTAACGTTCCAGCTCAAGACCTTGCTATTTTTCCTCTGCTGTTCTGCATCTGATGGCTCGGCGGGAGACCCTGCAGCTTCTGTAGAGCATCGCGCGATGCAGCCATCTTTAAGCATTGGTAAGGTAGTTAACGTCTCGCCACGGTGGCAAGATGTTAACTCACCTGGTGTACAGGAGGTCGTGGGTTCAATCCCGACCCTGATGCCTTTATATTTGGAGTTTGCGTGTCTCTTTCCCCGTGGTCGCGTGGATTTTCCCTCCGCTTTTCCCTCCGCATTTAGAATCGACGTGCGTTTAAGAGTATTTTGGCTTCTCTAAATTCCCACGCGATAAGGCCACTTCGTTGAGCCATCATTTGCGGCAGCCGGGTTGCCACTGAAAAAGAGTTAACGTCAGCTCAGCGCGCCTTACGTGGTCAAATAAAAAGGTGAGTTTAGTTTAAGAGTCACGTCGCGGACGCATCCTCCCGTTGAACCTCTGCTGCCAAAGTCACGTCATGCTAGCCGGCCGAGTTTCGATGCGAGCCGGCCCTGGCTCCCGCCGCGTGTCTCGTATCCCGGCCGGCGTTCGTACCCGCGCAGAATATGCGCAGCTGCTGGCTGGGGGAGGCGAGCTGCAGGTGCGGAGTGTGCAGCTCCACGAAGGCTCCGGGGTAGAGGACGAACAGGAAACAGCCGAAGCCGTTGACGCGAACCTGCTCCCTGCGGAAAAACGCGGCGCGCGCGGAGGCGGCGCGGCTCTGAGCTCCGATGCGCTCTGAAGAAGGGCCACTGCGTGAAACGTCGTACGCGATTTCCTTTGAAGGCCGCTCTATTATCGACGGACGCGTCGATGTGTTGTTTTTTCTTTCTCCCGTGTTTGTCTTTGCTCACGCACCGCGGCCAACACAGCCAAGCGATGCTTTTTTTTAAAGCCGCTTGTTTTGAGCCAATGCTCCTGAAAATCACGCACTGCCAGAAGGCCGAGCGGCTGATGGGTTGTGTAAAGAAATACTTTTACTTGTTCAGTGGAAACACCTGGATATGTGGAGGTGACGGAATGTCCCTTTATCTACTTTGTTCTCGGGTCATGGCACGATGTCCGACGTTTTCGCACCACATGCCGCTGGGAGCTTCTCCACACAACTGTGCTATCGGCGCCACGTCGCAAGATGAGGTGCCCGTTCGGATCTTTCACAGGAGAGTGCAGCCTCTCATATGAAGAGGACGGCCCACGGAAATGTAATATCACGGAACAACTTATATGAGATCCGAGTGACCTCTGCGCTTTCAGGGCAGCAGCTTCCCAGCCACTCTGGGCACTGAGGGTAATGCTCGGCGGATCACGGTCAAACAGATATTATTAATTCTCGGAGCTGCAATTCAGCCAAATTCAGTGCAGGACCACATTTAACGTGATGGACCCTTCTGTGCATTCATCGATGACCGTCGCTGGGGCCATCAACTCGCTACACTTGAGAACCCGGCTTAACCAGAGGTGGCTGCGTGGACTAAAACCCAAGATCTCAGCAGTGCCGGCTGAGCGTATCCAACACGGCGATTATGAACCAGACCCCCCCCCTCCCCCCCAACTGAGCCACCCAGCCACCTCTACAAGGTTTCACTCTGTTCATTTTTTTCTATCCAATACATTTTAGCCGTCAATGTGGTTTCACTTCAAATATTTACCGTGCGCTCTCAATCAAACATTTATAGAGCAATCCACTAAGGGAATTGAATCCTGCGCTTCCACCGATGTCCTGATTTGTACCACGCAGAGGGCAGTTTGGAAATACAAAACGGGTGAACAGCTGGTAATTTTTATTTTAAAAATTCAGGGCAGTGTGTGTAGCATCCGTTGCGGATACGGGAACGACAAAATCGGACTCGCGAGCCGGAGCTACCGTCGATTGTTGCTGTGCACGACAGTCTGAGACGGCGATGCATGGGGAGGGGGGGTAGGCCCTCATCCAGCAGTGGATAGATAATTGCTGATGATGGTGACAATGCGGGGAGGGGGGCGATGACGCAGCGCAGTGGAAGCACGTTCGTTGCGGTGGTTCACGGTTTGAATGCGGCTGACCGCCCTGATTATTACTGCGAGTGTGTTAACCGTGGGGAATGTGGGCGTCCGCTTTACAGTGGACGTTAAAAGATACCCGTGATGTCCTTCGACAGACTAGGCCGTTGTGTGCCGGCGTCACGGTCCAATTAGAAGATTTACTCGCACATTGCTCCATTGGGATTGCACGCACAGTGGCCATCGTCGCCCCCTACCGGCAGACTAATGCCTGCAGGCAGGCCAGGTGCCGAGTGACCTTGTGTCACACTGACACACAGGGACAACCGCCACTGGCGGTGCCCTTTCAAACGTGTTTTCAGGTTCATACGTTGTACAGCCGTTTGAATACGGGAAACAGAAATGATCGTCCATGTGTTTGTGTTTCTCCCTTGCGATAGGACTTTTGTAGGATGAACGTTGAGATTTATAAGGACACGGGGTGACCAATAAGGTCTGAATTGGTTTGTAGTAAGGTAGGCACTAATAAGCGATGGTGATGGTGCACAAACAGCAACAAACCCACCACATTCGTCAATGGCACCGTGGCCTTAAAAGGAAAAATGTACAACAGACAGTGGAGGCGCCTCTATTTATTAGTTTATGAAGAAGGGCCATTGACTGAAACGTCATCAATTAGATATTCTTCACTTAAGGGCAGTGTTATTGAGAAATGTGTCACGTGTTTTTTTTTGTTACGTAAAAATTATTCATGATAATTGTTATGGTGATGATGAAGGATGCGCTGGTTACTTGACTGCCGCCACGGCGTGGCCGAATTCGTGCACGACGCCGCTCAGCAACACGGCGAGGAAGAAGTAAGAGGCTTGAGACAGCGGCAAGTTCACACCTGGTACCTGTCGGGGCACGCAGACGCACACACACACGGGGTGCAATCATTCAACCCTCTGTCAGATCTCACAGTCGATACTTGACCCCCAAGATCTGTCCTTACAGTCTCTCCCATCATTCACCCCTGAAAAAGACTCGCGTTCATAGAGTCAAACAGTTACTCATATTCCCACAAACAGACCCACAGACCCACACAGAAACCTATAATTCTGCCTGCAAAGTATCCCATAAACTGGCCTTAGTGTCAATGTATGTGTAACGACTCTGGACTCCAGCTGCAGAGGTTTCTTTTATTGCACGTAATGTGGCTTAGGACCACATCGTCATGAAATAATGCCGACGTGGAGATCGTATGGCCGAGCAGACAGTGACGACGTGAAGACAGCGACGATGGCCCGAGTCCCTCTCGACAGCCCCGAACATCCCTTCTCGGCCTGCTTTTAACCTCGTGGATTCTCTGGGGGAATTTCCCCAACTCTCTATTTTGGACACTGGGGAATTTCCCAACCAAGGACCTCTGGGGCATTTCCCAACCAAAGTCCTCCAGACTTGCTGGCGCCTTGTCTGTGCATCCAGCCTCGCTGACACCCTGTCTTCACATCGAGACTTGCTGACAGTCTTTACATATGTATGTTGAACTTCTTTCATGCTGTAAGTAGCCAACCGTGCTAATCGGAGGTGGAAGGAAGGTCAACAAACCAAAAGGCTACTTTTCAAAATGAGTTTCTTTCATTCGAAAATGTGAGGTCCATTCACGATTGATTTTCCAATCTGTTTGGCTACGTCAGGCAGTGGAGGGTTTTTACGACACGAATTTGAGCAGACCAATAGGTGGCCTCACCCAAAAAGAATCCAATAAATTACGAACCATAACGTTGGCTGAGAACGCCTACGTTTAAACAAAAACAACAGCAAAAAAGCACGATTGCTACGCGGCTGCTGCGCAGATACTTACAATGACTTGCAGGACCTGCTGCTGCTGCTGCTGCTGTTGCTGGGCTGCCGCCGGGAAAAGCAGGAGCCTCAGCATGCTGGCGAGGTTGCTGGTGAGCAGCACCACGGACAGCACCATCCCGGCCAGCCCAAACACCAGCCCCGCCGTGAACCTAGGCAGTGGGAAGAGGCGTTCGGGCTTTTGGGCGGCGCTTGTTCTCTTTTAGCCTCAGTCCCAGCCCCGTGGAAGACGGCCTGTGGAACGTGAGTCGAGTCCAAGTCCGTCGGTTGCACTTGGTCGTTCTCCTAAATCTTATCGACTGCAGCGGTCAAAACGCTTAGGTCCGCGCTTCGTTCGTAAATGACCGTGTCAGGGGTGCATCATTTTCCGCCACAATCCCCCAATATCATGGGATCTCCTTTGCCAGTACCAAAATATGAGAATAGGTTTTCCCCTTGTTTCTGGCAACAAATAGGTGTTAAGATGTTAAAACACCAAACTGAAACCTTTTACGAGGAATCATATCTGCATTAACCACAATACTTGTGGTCAGAATGCAAACAAAAAAACACACTCTAATAATATTTGCATTGTCTTTGAAACTGATTTGTCCACACCAGAGATAGCTTTATTTTGAACCTCGTCTCAAAGGGTGTTAGACCGGAGGACGTCAAAAGGCTAGGCTCAAAAGAAATCTGTCTCTGGTGTGGACCAGTCAGTTTCAAAGACAATGAATATATTATAAGTGTGTTTTTTGTTAGCATTCTGACCACAAGTATTGTGGTTAATGCAGACATGTTTCCTTGTAAAAGGTTTAAATTTGGTGTTTTAACATCTTAACACAACTGTTTGTTGCCATAAAAAAGGGGAAAACCTATTCTCAATCCCCCAATATTATCAGGTCGGCGAGTCAGCGAACTCAGTCAAGTAATTTATTTTATTTATGTACATATATAGCCAGCAAACCGTCGTCGGTGGTCGTCCCCAGTGCACTGCGGCCTCTTAATAACGTCGCCAAAATGACCTTGCGTCTTCATTCTGACTGGATAAGTTAATCTCGACTTAAATCGGTCACGCTTTGGTCACTGGTGGGTTGAAGTTGTTAGTCATCATCATCATCATCGTCGTCGCGCTCGATGCTTTTCGTCTGCTCGCCATCATCGCAGACGAACATTTTGCGTTACCAATTTAGTTAACGGCACCTTGGAGGCAAGGGGTTGGTGGATCGTGGAGAGCAGGAGGTGAGGAATGTTTTCTCTATGGGACACTTTTTTGCCGGTATAAACAAAAAAAATAGGCTTTACAATTTCTGGCGATAATACAGACTTCAGATATAACTGCTCAAATCGAGCTATTAATGCTTTGATATTTGCACTGCCTTTGTGCTGTTTGCCGTTCTTTGGTCGATCACTGGTGGTGAGATAAGGCCATCAAGGAGACTCACTCCAGTGAAGGCCAATCAGTTGCAAGGGCAATGCATACATTATTATCAAAGTATCTGTGTTTGCATGTTTTCTCACGAGCACGTGTTGTTAATAGGGAATTGATGCTTTGTAATAGGTGTCCATTTAGCGTTTGAACATCTCAACACCTCCTGTATCTTTGCCGGAAAGGGTACATTTTGAATAGGAAAGGGTAAAGTTGATTATTTTTTCATAAGCAATGTTTTCGTTTGACCAGCATGACGAAGTATGGTCAAACAACCCCCCCACTAATCCCCTCCCCCCCAGATGACCCCACCAGATGTGCAGCAGTCGAGGGCGCCAGTGTCCGGCTCGCAAGAAGGCCCGGTTGAGTATCGTGCTGGTCCAACGCACGTGCCCGGGCGACACGGCCACGCTGTGCGTTGTCATCCAATGCTCGTACCGCGTACCCAGCCAGCTCGCCTGCGCCACGCGCCACGGAGGGGACGAGCGTCCGCGATGAGAGCGAGTGTGAAGGACAACATATCTCGTGTCCATAATAGAAGTTTTTTTTTTTTAGTCAGATCGCGTAAATATATAAATGTGTCGTCAAACCCGCCGCCACCCGACACAGCCATATTAGTAAGGTTTGTCACGTAAACACAACGTGCCAATTCGTTACTAGTACAGCACCACCGGTGTGTTGGAGAGCAAACCCAGAACATTTACAATTCGAGTACGACGTTTCGTCAGTAATGACAACTAGCATCGTCAGGCAACAGCCAGGGATGTATTTTAAAATCTTTTCGAGCAGAACGTAGCCCACCACGCTCATCGGAGGTGCGGGGGAAGGACAACGCATCTTACTTCCCAGTAAACATGGAACGTTGGGCCAATGACGCGCCGACGGTAGCGCAACGGTGCACGTTTTTGCTGGGTTATCACAGTCGGATGTATCGTAGCATCGTCTGGGGTGGGGTGTGGTCCAGTGCTCTTCACTCATTTTCAGAGGAGGGCACTTTTGCCGAGAAGACTTCATCAGTGTGCGCGAGGGCCGCCACACATTTCACAGCAGCACGACGATGGTGGGGGGGGGGGGGGGTGTCACTCTTTGCGTGTTGTCGGGGGCGGCACGCCAGGAGCCGCACTAAAGGCCATCAGCCAGTGGCCCTCGGGCCTTGCAGAGCAGAACACCGGTGTAGCCCGATGCAAATAGGACCGTGGCCTATCGAGGAAGGGTTAGGGTGTGTAGGCTTATGAACTTACCAATGTCGCACATTGACATATCTTAAAAATTGGTTTCTCTTTCACCATGGCGTCACTGACCGCCAACACGAGTTAAAGCAAGTATCAGCAGTTCAGTTTCAGTTCATTTATTAGGTACAGCCCTGTGAGCCATTCGGCCCTTGAATCGGGTGCAACCGCAACAAACAAACACATGAACAAGAAAACATCTGAAAGTGGCTACGCGCAAACAGAAAAATCCAGGAAAAAACAGCAAAGTCTTCCAGCAGAGCTCCCTTCTGTGTCTCCACATGTCGACGTTCAGACCAGGGGTGGGCAAATTTTTTGACTCGCGGGCCACAATGGGTTCTAAAATTTGACAGAGGGGCCGGGCCAGGAACAGATGGATGGAGTGTTTGTGTGAACTAATATAAATGACGTGTAAAAATCATTACATGAAATGATTTGGTCTTTAACAGGTAGCAAAGCATTGATTTGCAAGGCAATTTAACAAATTGCACGAACATGAACAATACAAAAACATGTCGTAACTCCCGGTCAAAGTGCGCCATCTAATGGTGAAATGGGGGCATTACAGGAGAAAGGTAAAATTTAATTTAATAATAATAATATTTGGACAAGTTCGGCGGGCCGGATTAAAAAGCCCAACGGACCGTATAGGGCCCGGGGGCCGTAACTTTGCCCGAGTCTTGGTTTAGACTCAGATATTATCATGAAGCCAGCCGGCAAGGCCCCATTGAGCTAAAAAGTTGTTGCCAGGACGACCACGGCACAGGGCCGTTGGCAGTGTGAAAAGAGCTTTACAGCTCATCGGATTCCTCCAGTACAGAGAAATATTCTGAGCTCTAGGACATTGCAGGTTGTGAATGTGCAAACGAGAGCAGGGGCACAAATCATTTACAAGAAACGTCATCACATTGGCTTTCCAGACCGCGATAATCCAGCAAGACTTTGTCTCACTGCTTTTTGCGATACACAAACACCTCCACACATTGGACACTAACGCTGTCAACAACAAAAAAGACATACAGTCATGTAGTCATCGACGTTTCGGGCAATGACCCTTCTTCATACCCCCCCCCCCCCCCCCCCCCATTACGGTGGTGTTATTGACGATTGTGAGGATATTAATGCTCTGTCATTCGACTAAGCAGGCGAACTCGAGGCCGGCTTCCCCCTGGTCTGGGACTCATCAGCAGAGCAGGGCTCTGTCAAACGCCGTGACGTCACTCACCCACAACAATGACTTACCCCCTCCCCCCCACACTCTCTTCTCACCCTGATCAGCGCGTCCAAGGCAGACACGAGCGCCCAGAATGTCAGCAGGACGAGCGCAGAGGTCGCAAAAGCCATCCTTGCCGGGTGCCGTCGCTTCCTTCCCTCTGGGTAGCGCCGACGGAGTCCCGCCGCACGACCGACCTCGCCTGGATCTCCAGCCCGAAGCCTCTCGGTTGAAGATCAGCGGGCCGTAGAGGTGCCGGGTCGGGGTCAGGGACGAGACATGTTAAATTCGGGCGCCGCTTGCTGATGGCTGCGCTAAATGATAGAATGATGCGCGTCCGTACCGTTGGTAATTCAGGAAGATGTATTTGAGTTGTGTGGTGATGGGAGTACTGGGCAACTTCCCGTATTGTTTAAATAGCGGTGAATGAGCGCGCCGGCTGAGCGGGAGGCAAGTTCATTTAATTAAAAAAAAATAACTTTAGCATTTGACAAATATATCCAGCGCGTAGTAATATTACAATCTCACAGTTTGATTTCGATTGAATAAGTTTAATTTTCTGAATGTATTTAAGGGCGAAAATATTAAGTGGCCGTACACGTTGCGCCGAGTAACGAGCGAATGTGCAACAGTAAAATGCGCTGCTAGCTTCCCGGATCTCCACAGTGAACCCTGCACGTGTTATTCGCCATGTGCTGTCGATGCTATGAAGGTTCAATTGCTTTGAAGGGGCATTGCCCGAAACGTCGCCGAACATATATTTTGTTATTTTTACAGCAGTGTTATTGACGAATGTGTTTTTTTGTGCGTGTCACTGCTGGATGAGGGCCTTAGCACATCGTGCAGTTTGTGTGGGTTATATGGGACACACTTCACGACGCCAGTCAGATGAGCACCGCCTATTTAGGCGGTGCTCATCTGTTTACACCCATGAGCCAGTGGTGGAATTTTCACGTTTCCATTCGGGGGGGGGGGGGGTCCGAGTCTATCCATAGGACCACTTTTGACTTACAAAGTAATATATTTTATAGATGATGCGTTGAGTCAGACACATAAGGGGCCGTCCATAAATGACGTCACGCGATTTTTGACCCCCCCCCCTCGTCACACGGCGTCACAAAGTCAGACCCCCCAAATATGACGTCACAAAGCTCTGCCCCCCCCCCCCCAAAATATATAAAACATGCTTCAAATCGCTTTAAACTATTGTCGTGCGTATGTAATGTGCCGTTGCACTCTGATGTAGGAGAAAACATGCATTAAAAAAGTCTTATTTAATTGAGTAGAACGTGTTTATTTAAAGCTGCGCATTTTGATGTGACGTCACATTTCTCAAACCCCCCCCCCTCGTCACACATCGTCACAAATGTCTGACCACCCCCCCCCCAGGTGCGTGACGTCATTTATTGACGGTCCCCAATCAGGATTTGAATCGCAACCGATTGAGGACGGCTCGCGCTACCGCTGAGCCACCTGAAGACGGAAGCTTGCGTTGCCTCCGAAACGTCGTGTTTTAATTGTTTATTTTATTTTAATTTATTTTAATTTGTTTTACCTACGTGACTTTACCGAATAAAACCAAAGAGTATGGTCAAAGTACCCCACTGGCGCAGCAATCGAGTTTGCTGTACCGCCCTCTGCTGTCCACCACGTGTTATATACAAACACTTGAACCGGTAAATAATAGAACTGAAATTACATTTTTTATGAAAGCTTAAAATGTAGAATAGCTTATACACACGGTTTTACAATAATGTATTAAGGGAGAACAAATGAAAACTGCAAAATTAATTTGCAAATTATTGATGCATTAAGATGTGCAGCCCTCTCATCTTCAATCCACTGCTGGATGAGGGCCGTATTGCTGGGTTATTTGACCATACTTCGCGCTGGTCAGTGCGGGTTGGAGAATTGACCTGGGTATTAAGCCTTAGTGCAATGGATTTTGCTAGACTATCCTCTACTGTCAACCACGTAGCCCCGCAGCATGGGGTAGTTCTAAATAAATAGGGGCCCACGTATATAATAATAATACATTAAATGCATTTTTTCGGTGAATATCAATGCAATGTTCGCGGTCTAAAAAATGGAGGGGGGCGGGCGCTGGCACCCCCTGTAGCGTCTCAATACCAATTACGCATGGTGGTTACCCCATCCAAGTACCGTACAGGTACTATAATCCAGGCTCTGTTAGCTGTCTTGAGATCTGACGGGATCGACCGCATTCCGGCCGAGTGGTGATTTCAAAACACAGCCACGCGCGGTGTTCACTTCTGGATGATGCAAGCGTGTGCATGTGTGTCCCCTGACTGCACACTTGGGCTACAACTTGACCTTGATCTGAAAAAATAACAGATTATAATATGCAGTGGATTCAATGCTATGCTTTTGCAGGGGCTTTTAATCCAATTGCGGTTTTCGCGGTTGGGCTGCGTGTCGTCCCACCTGTATCTTCTTTCACGATTTCACCACACACTACTGAAGATGCTCACAACCTAAACCTGGAACGCCAACAGTGTGGATATCTTTTTTTTAATGCAGGTTCAGTTTGTCCGTTTTCGCGTACATACGGTTAACCTATTTCTAACCAAAATTCGCGATATGTGGTTTGAATTCACTCCTCTGTGGTCGGACGTCAGACAACATTGTGCACTGTGGGTCCATGCTTTGCCATTTCGCTTTTGGGCGCCCTTGTTTTGGAACACCTCTCGCACAAAGCGAGGGAAACCTGTACTAAACTAAAGATGGTCATACAAAAATAAATCCTTCATTCAAATTGTTTCCCACTGCTATTCAGGATTATATTAAATATACACCGTTGCACTAAACAGGCTCAAAGAAAATGACAGCAACACTACGCACGAATAAATTACATTGCAACTTCGTAAGATACATTTGATGAAATGTACACCTGAACAAGCAAATATGAACGCTCGCTTTTAAATGTAATTCTGTACACAAGCTGCTTTCAATAACGTAATACACCATCGCATTTACATTTGCATGCATAGTCGTGTCTCCCTGCCGCTGTTTGAACGGAACGGTCAAATTTGCATTCCCCCTTAAGCAACGACGATTGACTTCTTTGTTATTATTAACGCTGCCTTAGAACAGATAAAATATACACTGTACAAGGCTAATGTTATGTGGAACTGTCTTTAACATTAGCCTCGTAATGTGTATATTTTATCCTTGGGGAAGAGACAAAGGGCAGTTGTATTGACTGGCAATTGGAGATGAATTTGTTTAATTTCGTTTACCTCCTATCTACATTCCAATTATTCTGTTAGGGTCACGTCATGAGACCTACGACATTTAGATTCATAACTCTCGTGGGCAGCAGCAGTGTGTCAGAGAGAGGCCCTAGAGCAGTGGTGCGCAACTTGTGGCCCATGGGCCCTATGCGTGCCGTGGAGCCCCTCCTCGTGGTGGCCTGGTCTCGGTGTGTCTCTAGGGTCATGCGTGGGGTCATGATTGGTGCACAAGCGCTGTATCAAGCTTGTGGCCCACTGAGGTGAAGCAGGGCCGCTCACGTGGCCCACCGACACGTCTGGGTTGCCCGTCACTGCCCTAGACTATGAAGCGACATACATACTTCTAAGAGTCAATTTAATTGCTTCTCTATAATTAGTGGCACGTTACCTCTTGGTGGACTTGTAGATGTATTTCTACTGACCGTGTACCTCGTATTTTTCATTCTATCTATGCTGGTATGTGCAATCCAAAGGTTGAACACGAAATTTAACACTCTTCTGAAATTCGTGGTCCGCCAGGAAGTGTCTAACTGTGTTGTTGGCCTGACTGGATGTGCTTCACATAATGTTTTTTCAGGTTTGTTGAATTCTCGTCTCTCATCTTTTTGTTGTATTTACCTCCGTCATTTGTTCTTGACACCTGATGAAGATCGCTTGCGTTGTGATCGAAACGTCGTGATTGTTTTTTGTTTTAATATAATTTAATTGTATTTCTACATACGTGACTTTGCCGAAAAAACCAATGAGTAGTGGCACGTTATTTATACGGCCTAGAAAAGAGTGAATGTTGGTATAGGCCAAACTAAGTTATTAAACCAAGCTTAACATGGATGAGTTTGTTTTCTGTGTACAGTCATTGGTGACTGGGCTGATACCGTCAACTTACTACACATGACAACGTAGTTAAAATCATGAGCGACTGAAACCTGGATTCGAAACTGGGATCCCAGGAAAGCTGGCTGGGGATTCTTGGACAAGAAGCCTTGGTTGCTCGATCACTGAGTGTGCGGAGGGGATATAGAGTGAGTTGAGAGGGGTGAGATCAGAGCTTGCGTGGAGGGGAGTAGAGTGAGATGAAAGTGGAGAGGTAGGTGAGCGTGTGAGGGGGAGTAGAGTGAGATGAAAGGGGAGTTCAGTATGAGAGGGAAGAGGTAGGCAGGGGCCAAGTCAATATGTAGGATCTTGAAGACGGTGTGATCTTGATATTGATTAGGGATTGGACTCAGAACCAGCTCAGTTTGAGAACACATTTGCGACATCTTTGGGGTCGTCCCAGCCCATGCACTGGAAACCTGCGGCACACACATGAACACACGCACACACACATGAACACGCGCACACACACATGAACACGCGCACACACATGAACACGCGCACACACACGCATTGACTTTTCTGCTTGTGATGCAGCACCATTAACGTGGAATAATTAAAGATGACTTAAATAGTAACGATCGTCACTGAAGGTTAACAGGGGACTTGCCGTAAAGCCTGTCTGACGTGTTGGTAGTCCCAAGCTCCTTCCAGCCATTGATGTACCTTGAGAAAAAGCGAATGCATTATTCAAAATAAACACGGCAGAATGGAATTAATATTTCCTCTCATTATCCCCAAATTTTATCCCCATCGTGCTATCGGCGCCGGGTCGTTACGTGACGAATAACCCATTATATTCTTGGTTCTTTCGGTAAAGTCACGTAGAAGGGAAACAATAAAATAATTAAAATATAAAACAATAAAACCCATTCGTATCCCTCGCGGAGCAGTGCAACCCTTAGCATTAGAGAACGGTGCACAGAAGCCAATATCACAGAGCTACCTCTGAGATCCCTTGTTTGACCTGCATCACACTGGGATTTTTGCACACAGCGTTGTAATACGGTGTTTGTTTTTTTCCTGGAAGATTTGCTGGTTTATCCATGATGTTTCTGTTGCGCGTCGTCGCTTTAAGATGTTTCTCTGTTCACATTTTGTTGCGGTTGCACCCGACTCAAGAGCCGCATGGCTCACAGGGCTATCTCTCTATATATAAAAGATAAATTTGTGATTGTGTGTTTGTTCATAGTGTTTAGCGTACTTCCCGACATGCAACAAACTTAAAATTTGCCATATGGGTACTTTACAGACTGTACACCATGCAAACATTATAAAATATATTTTTCTATTTTTTTTTGGGGGGGGGGCTCAATAATGCATATGTTTTTTGCACGGCAAGTGAGTTGGGACGTCACATCTGTCATGTGGCCTGTGTGCGGAAGCTAAACGGAGTGTGCCTGCTGATCGCGGGTAAAGTGAAATACAAATGTGTTGCAGGTCTTAGGCGTTCTTCGCGCAGCATTGCTTTATTATTTCAGTCGTTTACTGCCGTACGCACCCTGAAAGTTGTGTGTGTGTCTGCAGCAAGCGCGTGTATGTGTACCTATGGTTAGCGCGCTGCGCTACGAATCCCGGCGACCCGAGTTCGATTCCCGGTCACGGCCACTACCGGTGACGATTATTTGAATCGGCCCTGGGCCTCCCCTAGGTCGACTCAGCCTCAAACGAGTAACTGGTGTGGTGTGTGAACATCGCCACTGGGGAGACAAAGGCGGCCGGGCGTGGTGAATCCAAGTCCCGGGCGAAGCCGGGTAGTAAAGCTAGTACAGTAAAACCTTGGACTGCGAGTAACTTGGTCTGCGAGTGTTTTGCAAGACGAGCAAAATTCTTTAAATAAATATTAATTTGATAAACGAGCGAGGTCTTGCAATACGAGTAGTGTACGTATACGCTTTGTCTGCCGAGCGTCACGTGATCACAACTGATATACGAGTGCTTTTGATTACAAACACGTTTCCGGAACGAATTATGCTCGCGATCCAAGGTTTTACTGCACCTAATAAATGAAACTTGAAAACTTGAAAAGTACCACTCTGGTCCAAAGACTGCAGAGGGCAGCACTTCCCCACCTGCTTTGTATGATCGTCGAACCGATATGAATTCTCAGAGCTGGAATTTAGCCAAGTTAAGTGTTTTGCTCCGTCGTAGCTGACCGGGCTGATACCATCGACTCGCTACACTTGAGAACCTAGTTTAATCACAATACCGTTTATGTTTCATACGAGTCTAAGGTTCTGTGAGTACTGTTTATGGATATCCTTGAGTCAATGGATCTCTGTCAGGCTCTGGGTCACTGTGAGTTCTTGCATCTCTCTTTCACTCATTGGTGACCGGGCTGAGACCATCAACTCACGAATACAAATAAATGACGGAAATTCAAGCATAAAACCATCGAAACGTACTCCTCAAAGTCGAGCGCCTTGGTCCATGTCAGTAAATCCTCGAGCTCCGAGTCCACAGGTGGTCCAGGTGCCGTTCCTTCTGATCCACAGCTTGCAGGGGCCTGCTGCCCTCCCTCGTACCTGGGGGGATGTCACCACATGCGGAAAGCGCGTTACTCTTGAGCGCTACTTGTGAACACGCGCGCACACGCACGTTAATGCGGAGCAGCATTAGACAGTAGCGTGTCGCGATTGTGGGTCAATGTGTAGGTTTGAATGCGCTCGCATGAACGGGTTTGCAGGTGCTCCCTTTACAGCACTCGCCTCAAAAAGTCCGTTCAGGTTATAAGGGTGATTTTTGTCTTGTGTTTGTGTGTAGATGGAAGTGGTACTGTAGTGGTTAAACAAACCCAGCAAACCCCAGTTTGATTCCCGCTCTCAGCTACCCTCCATGAATAACACCTGAACCAGTGCTGGGGCTCCCCTAGGTCGACTTGACCTTAAATGAGTGCCCTGGTGCAGTGTGTAAACATGAGCACTGGGGTGACAAAGGCGGCTGGGCACGGTGCGGTGCTGGCCACCCACCTCCTCGTGCCGACCTCCATAGCTGCTATTCGCTGACGGGACTTGCTCCGACAGCCGACAGCCTGTTAGAGGCTATGGCGGGGAAGTGGGGGGGGGGGGGATCTTCTTAGTCGTTTTAAAGCCTCTGCATGCGACGCTACTCACAGTTTGCGCAGCCACTGGATCTGCCTGCGCCGGCGCCGCGAGCTCGATTCGTGCCTGCGCTGGCGCCGGCTTGGGGAGAACGGAGCCGCGGGGGGCACCGTGCCGCCGGCCTCCCCGCAGGGCTGCGCTGCCAACGGCCGGCCCACCAGCTGGGGAAGGCGAGCACACGGTGGGCACACGGCAGAGCATGTCGAGTGCGGCGGGCAGCCCGGAGCAAACAGAGACAACGGGATCACCTGTGCGGACTGCACAGACTGTTGGGGAAAGTGCTTTTGGACATGTACACACAGATATAACTATTTCGACAAATATTCTCCGTATAGACGACAAAGACTGTTGGGACAAGTGCTGTTAGACGTATACTTCGGTTTCTCCCCCAATGTGTTCGTTTATTTTAAACGTGAAAGCAACCAAACTTCCCAATGCAGGATCCACGTGAAAAAAGATTATTGAGATTCAGTGACACTTTCCTACATAAACAAATGACTTATAAATATGAATCAACGCATTGTTCCATGCCCAATACATGCAGACACATTTGCATATATATAGCGAAAATCACAAAAGAGGTGTGTGTTTGGAATTACACTGGGAGACAGCAAGAGGAACACATGAATTTGATTATCTAAGGATTTGTCTATTATTCAGGAGCACATTTTAAAAGTGGTCATCAGAAATAATTTTAAATGTAATTCTCCATCAGTCCCCATGGTGTCAACAAGCGCAGTTTCTAATTCGCATCATCCAATCTGTCTGCTGAGCCTCTCTCTACGTACTGTGAAGAAGGGCCATTGGCCGAAACGTCGCCAATTATAGTTTTTTCCCTGTTAAGGCCACGCAGTGTTATTTATGAATGTGTCGGGGTTTTTTTTATTAGAAAAAATACGTTAAGGACATCATACTCCGATACACAGCCACAGTAGTGCGATTGTGGCCATGCAACCCAAAACTATTAACCATATAGTAAACCTAATGAGATACATAAAGACTCATTGAGATGTAGAGAACCAAAGAGATGCATTAAAGAAAGCCACAGCAGTGCGATTGTGGCCATGCAACCCAAACTATGGACCGTACAGTGAAACCCACTGTGATCTTACACTTCTTTGCTGAAGCCCTCTCGTCATGGCCAACAGGCATTGAGTTCCTGAACCACATTTCTGCTGCCATCATGAGCAAGAACACCATCGTATTTACGGTAAAAAAAGTAAGCGGGCTTAGGCAAGACACATCGCTGCAAGAGCTGTTGTTCGGTGGTCGAGACTAACGATGGAATGGCAGCCAGAGGAGGCAACACGCCCGAGAAGACGCCACCCGTGAAAATGGCAGCGTGGAATTTGGCTCGCATGCCGGCGCCAGCCAGAGCATTATGCCAGGGGAAAACCGTTGCGTGAAAGACCCACGACTTAAAAACTATAAACTATTTTTTATTTTACAAAATTTTACCAGTTAAGCAACGTAGCTCTTTTTTCAGAAGCGACCTGGCTACAAATGATAGTTCAACAAAGTGGCTTGTCACGTGGAAATTTAGATCAGCCAAATACTCTGAATGCATGTTTCTAAATGTGTGGAGGGAAAAACCGGAGGACCCGGAGAAAAAACCGCATGACCACAGGCAGAACATGCAAACTCCAAATATACAGGTGTCAGGGCTCGGGATCGAACCCACGACCTCCTGTATACCAGACGAGGTAATTAACATCTTGCCACCATGACGAGATGTTGAGGGCCTTCATCCACCAGTGGATAGATCGTGGCTGATGACGGTAGTGCTACTCGTGGCACGAGTCCGCTGCGAGGCAATGCGCTTTAATGCTGCGGTTTTGCCATACGGTGGTGGAGGCAGTGCACGCTTATTCTCATCAGGCCCCCATGGCGTAAACAAGTACAATCTCCAACGCTTATCATCCACTCCATAACGATTAATTATCATAATTTACTTATTTATCCAGGAAAGCCATGCTGAGTCCTCGGACTCTCTTTCAGGAGGATCATGCATTGTTTTTTTAAAGATATTGTCTCGCCAGTGGGAGGAAACCGGAGCGCCTGGAGCAAACCCACGTGAACGAGGGGGGAAACACTCTACCCCCATACAAATGGAACGGGTGGGGTCCACATTTTTTCTGTACCCACCTTCTGGCGTGCCAGGATACGTCTCCTCGACGCGCCAGAAAAGGGAATTTCACAACGTGTGTGCGTGTGTGCGCAATCCACAAACCCTCACTGTTGCCTCCACAGTGCTGGGTTACAGGCCAAGTGTACCACTACATCAGACATAGAGTGACCAGGGTCTGGGTATGGCAATATTACTGATATGGACAGGAGAGAGGCCACACAGTAAAGAGGGTACTTGGCCGCTTACCCTCTCTGACACCAGCCTCCACCCATTGTTCTCCACTCTCTTGTACCACCCGCTGCGATCCGGATCTGGATCCCGGACCGACCGCTCGGTGCCGGGTGTCGCCCGCGCTCCGGTCCCGTGAGCTCCGTGGCGTGTGATGCTGTAGCGCGGTGGTGGTCTGGCAGGCAGTGTTTTGACTGCGGCGCTTGCGTACACCTTGGGGCTGTTTGCGCACAGGTCTTGCACGGGGCGGTGCGTGAAGATCTTGTAGTAGATGTTTGGAGGGAAGCGCTCCTGTTTCGCACGGCATCAACAGTGGCATCGGGCTCACAACGTCTTAACCCTGCGGACGATGTAATCCCACGCAACCATCCCAACATATAACATACGCACCGTGTGACCAATTAACACGGCCCTCAATTCGCGATGATATAATAATCATATCTCCGTGTCAATCCACCGCTGGACGGATGAGGTTCTCCCCATGCCGTGTCGGTCGGTCGTGGGGGTCATTTGACCTTACGTCACCACGCCGGTCAACACGGCTTGGTGAAAGTGGCCATGCACCCCAAACTATGGACCATATAGTAAGCCCATAGACCACGGGTCTGCAACCGTAATAACCAGAAGAGACATTTTGTTCCCAATTCGGTGAAACTCTCAATATTTCAAGAGCCGCAATGCCACGTAGTGAATACGAGACGGTGGATCCTTAATAAATAATGTCACGAAGCGGTCCTTGAAGAGCCGCACGCGGCTCCGGAGCCATAGGTTGCGGGCCTCTGCCATAGACACAGAGATATGTAGAGACTCAGAGATACTTAGAGACCCATAGAGATACAAGGGCAAGCTACAGTGCGACTGGCCATGCAACCCAAACTAAGCACCATATCGTGAACAACTGTAGTCTGCGCTCCTTCAATGGAAGCGGGAACAGCACTACACAAAAATGTCTTCCGACGCCCTCCCATGGCTAGCAGACCTCGACATTGGCATTTAGCCCATGAACACATTGCCATTCGCAAGACTCGAATGATTGGCATGTATTTAAACACGCAGCAGCTCCCTGTAGGCAGGGTTTGGCTTTACAGTGGTAACGTCTGGCCGCACAGATGTTTCGTCTGCGATCGTTGTTACGTGGGTAACGTGAGCAGGCAGGGGTCAATACATAATTAAATGCCTCCAAAACTAATATTCTCAACTAATTAATGGGATCGTGCCATGGCTTGTATTTCATGAAAATGAAACGCCTGCAATGGGCCAAGCTCGGCCAACTTCAACCGATAATTGGTGCTCGGTGTTTGCGAGAGAGTGGAGGCGCAGAAGTTAGCGAGTCGCGCTGTGATCCCGACGACTCTGAGTTTGATTGGCGGCCGCGACTTACATCGGTGGCGGGGTGAGATCTAAACCTGGTCCTCCACACCCCTCCACCCCACTGCACACTGACCAGCATGGTGAAGTATGGTCAAACAATCACCCACAACTCACATGGCATGCATGGAGAGGTTTCTTCATGCAGCAGTGGACTGACAAAGCGCTGTACTCAAAATTACTATAGTGTCTATTTATACAGGTTTGTATGTGCTTGCGTCTATGTGTGCTGGTTGTATCACGTTGATGCACGACCTTACCATTCAGAACTTGACCATGTACGTTTAACACCTGGTAGGCTTTCACGACCAATATTATCCATAAGAGGTTTTTTGGTTAGATCGCGTCACAGCCCATTAGTAAGGTTTGTCACACAAACAAAGCATGCCAATTCGTTACAAGTACAGCACACCACCGTGTTGGAGAGTAAACGCACATTTACAATTCGAGTATGACGTTTCGCCAGTAATTACAACCAGCATCATCGGGCCACAGCGAGAGTTGAGATATCCTCCTGTTTCAGTATTAAATAGAGGGATAGATGTGATGTCGTCACTTGTGACCCAATCAGGCGCGAAGGCTGGGGGGGGGTTAATGTATGCATATAAATAAAAATGGATATCCAATACCGTTTAGGTAATTCAAAGGGTAATTAACATACATAATGCATGCTCATTATTCATGTTCATGATGCATGTACATCCTGCCGTTTTTTGGGTGCAAGAAATCACAATACCTGCTATTGTCTGCTCACAGTTAATCACCATGGACGTATGGTGACTTGTACAGTAGGCATGCAGTTAAACGGTATATTACTTGATAATATACTGTTTAACTGCTTCCAAGCAGCACCAAAAAGAAAATGTACCATGTACAGTTGTTTTTTATTGTTTTGTTCATGTATTTTCTCTGTAACCAGATTTCTATGATGTAACCAGGTCCCCATCAAAACATTTACATTCATTGCCCAATGGGCTTTATTGGTGCCAAAATAAACCCTGAAAAAAAACCTCAATAAAGAACGTATCAATGTCGGCAAATATATATGTATGTCTGCATGTATAGTACGTCAATGTTATGTACTTATGTCCATTGGCGAACCCTGCGCCAGTCGTGGAAATTCCACATTCCAATGACACTGGCCTGTTTCTCCATAGGATAAAAAATATATAGTAACTGTCATATATCGTGATCTCTTTGTGGGGGTGGTGGTCGCGGGATTGGGGTGGTACTGACCCCTCCAAGGCGGAACCTCACATGGGCTCCCGCTGCTCCATCCAGTAACTCCGCCTGCACACGCAAACAAAGACCCCGTATAGTCCACGTTGGCCGTTTGGGCAAGTGCTGTTAGCGAGCACCTATAAAGGCCGGCACTGAACACACGATGGGTCGATGTGCCTTGCACCACACCCGACCGCTTTTGCCTCCCCAGTACTTATATTTACGGCACCATACCAGGTACTCATTTCAGTCAACCCGGACCGGTTTTGTTTATATCGCTCGTAGGCCTCGGCAAGGTAAGGTAATTTACCCTTTTTACCGGGTAAAAGGTTAAAGGTGTGGACATGCCAAGGGGTAAGGTAAAGGGTAGGGTAAAGGTAGCGCGAAGTATTACCCGGTACACACCTTGTTTACTGCTCGCTAAAAGCTCTGTGGCGCAGTCCGTGGCCTCCATTTAAAATTGGAATCATCGGGAGTCTTCTCTACCTAGCATTTACCTGTTATAAACCTTGTTCATGTGTAGTAGTACCCCAGTTATTGCCCTGTAATCGGGTAATTTGTATGGGGTAAGGGTAAAGGCATGCTCGTTGCTTTTGACCTTTTACCTTACCTTGCAAAAGGGTAAAATGTAAGGGTAGAGTGATTGTATTGTGGTCAGGTAAAAGGTAGGGTAAAGGTAGGCTCGTTGATTTACCTTTTACCTTACCTTGCCGAGGCCTAATCACTCGCCACTGATGTTAGTCGTGGCCGGGAATTGAACTCAGGATGCCGGATTCTTATCGCGGTGCACTAACCACACTTCTGAGTCACTCCTAATCGGTATTAGTGTGGCTATCAAAAGGTCCACCCACGGACGATGGGGTATCTTTGTGGCCCAGCAGAGGTCATGCGTTACGTCAGTCACAAGTAATGGGGCCGCGCATTGACGGCTAATACATGTTACGTGCGCTGTGGCAGGATTCGTCACCGACACGGGATGACAGCCGGCGGTCGAGACTAGCTAATGAGTGGCAGCCCAAGGAGAGGAAACAAAACTCGTCCGAGAGGCCGTCCTCTACAGATATGGAGTAATGTGATTAACTTGCACGTAGGAGCTACATGTGGATAGATCATGTGACCGTTAAGAGATGGCGACGTCTTAGGGGAGGCCCTCATCCAGCAGTGAATTCGCAAACGCACTGCCTTTACCGCCACCGCCTACCACGTCACAGCAGCCCCAACGGTGGCTTTGTGAATTCCACGAATCTGTGCGTGATCCACCAGTCCTCGCTGGCGCGCGCGCCGCCACACCCAACTAAGCGTAAACGTTCCGCATCCGACACCCGTGGCTAAATTGGCCAATCTCTTTCCGGTGCAACATGTTCGTTCAAGCGTTGCAACTGTGAACATGCAGTGGCACTCCGCACATATCTTTAACGGGTTGTTTACGCTGAGAACATTGTTTGTGTTGTCTTTGCACAGGCCCGTTCAATTGAGCTGCCTGTGCCTTGTTTACACATGGGGGGGGGCCCTCCTCACATATCGATTGTCTTCAAGCCGGGCAACTCTATTAGGCTGAGCACAGCTTGTTGACAATAGAGTCTCGATTTTTTTTATTGATTATCTTTACCCAGGCTGCGCTAATCAAGAAGCACGTGGCTACGATTGGTGGCCGGGGTAGCTGGCACTGTCGGGGGTTGGGGGGGGCGTTGAGTCAGCACCGCTGGGTTTTAGCCACCTGTGATTAAACCGGGTTCTCCAGTGCAGCGAGTTGATGGTCTCAGGTCGGTCACCGATTAATTAGATTGTGACGCATAGGCTCACGTAGATACCCATAGACTTACGTTGAGAAACAAATAGGCTCGCATAGACTCCCAGGGACCCATAAACTCACAAGCATAGCGAGTTGATGGTCTCAGTCTGGTCAATGGCCGCATAAATACAAATCACCCTTAAATTTGATTCTGCATGTAGTTTGACAAATTCCAGCTCTTGAGAATTACAAATAGTGCGTTGGTTTGGCTGGCATGCGACGAGCAATTACGCTGTGGCAGGGCGGGTGAGAAAGTGCTGCCCCTTGTGGTGTGTGGAAAAGAGGTTCACTTCTTGCAGGGATCTCGGGAGGTAGCTCTGTGAAATCCACTTCTGCGATCCGTTCTCCCGACACAGGGTTGTGCATTGCTCGGCGATATTTTTTGAATGGATTCTTAGTCTTGTGATGACGCACAATCGCGATATGGATTTTTTTTTAAAGCAGTATGTTCACTAAGCAGCCTAGATTTATCTATTGTAATGGTAATAATGTCAGCTTGTAATGCGGCAGCGCACAGTAATCGCTCGCTCTCGTAGAGAGGGCAACTAACAGGCGCGAGGAGGAACCACAGACGAGCGGGAAGACAGCAGCAGCCAGGCGGTAAGCTGGTGCCAAATCCCCCCAAAGCTCTGCGGTCCTCTATATATTGAGGCGTTACCGGCCATGTAATGAGTGTTTATACTTGTGGGATGAAACTGGAGCACCCGGAAAAACCCACACGTGCGAGGGGGCAACGCTTTATCCCATGTAAGATGGAACGGGTCGGAATCCACATTTTTGCTGTACCGCCTCCTTGCCGACCGCAAGAAGGGGTTTTTGTGATGCTTGTCGTGTTATCCTTCAACCCTCATCGTCCCAACACCAGTGCTAGATTACAGGCCACGTGCATAGCCGCCTCATCGTCCTAACACCAGTGCTAGATTACAGGCCACGTGCATAGCCGCCACCGTCTGGCTAATCGTCACTGGGGGGGGGGGGGGTAATCTCGCACATAGTACTTGAGCCTGCACAGAAGCGCAGGGATTGGAGGCTCGGTACCTCTAAAGCAGGTGTGTTTAAAGACACAACCCCCACATAAACAAAGAGCAGAGACTGCAGATACACACGCCAAGGTAACAGGTCAGCAAAGAAGCGTGGAGAGATGCATGCTTGTAATAACACTGAGCCGACAGAAAAGGGAGCATGTAGATAAAGTGTTTGTAGTGATACAGTATAATGGATTAGGTTAATGTAATGAAATAATTCAAACCGTAAGATAATAAAACTATATGGGCCCGTGCAGGACAGGTCACTAGAGGTGATGATGGAGTGGCAGCCAATGCACGGAATGCATCCAGAAGCTGATCGGCCGAGGAGATGAAGCAATGCAATCACCTCGTGTGCAGGTGCGTAGGTGGATTCCATCAATCACTCTTTAATTCCATAAAAAAGTAACTAGCAGCACCACACCTATTACCATCCTGAAGGGAATAAAAGGTGATCCGAACTCTGACCCCCAGGAACAGGTTTGCAGGTTCGTTGAGCATTTCTGTGAGATCTTGGGGGAGGGGAAACCCCTCAGCCCAGAAAACATTATGGGGCAAAGTGGGGATGACCCTGCTGAGGCTGCTGTGCCTGAAATATTGGCAGCAGTAGTCACCCCCTGTGAGTAACTGGCTGAAGTGCCTCTGTTGAGGAAGTATGGAAAGCGATCCAGAGTCTGAGACCAGGAAAAGGGCCAGGCAGAGATGATCTCCCAAGGGAACTGCTGAGGGAGGGTGGCGTTTGTGTGAAGACTCTCCTATATGGAATCATAATAACTGCCTGGACCACTGGACTGGTTCTGCAGGATTGGAAGGTCCCCCTCTTAAAGAAGGGGGGCCGCACAGACTGTACAAACTACAGGGGCATCGACCTCTTGTGTGCCGAGAAATGTCCTGTCAAGGATTATTCAACATCACCTTGCTAGACATGCTGAGGAGAGGCTTGCGGAGCCCCAATGTGGTTTCAGATGCCATATTTTCGGTCCAGCTGCTACAACAGAGGTATAGGGAATTCCCTGACTCTCTGCTCACAATTATCAAAGCTACGTCGCTAGGAGTCGGAGCCATTCCCTGCTCACTTTGGTGTGCGAAAGGGAATGTCCTCTGGCTCCTACATTATTTAACATCTTTTTCGACCACGTAGTTTGAGAAGCTTTCCGTGACTGTACCAAAGGAATCTTTACCTGGGAGGTTGATCGATGCCATTAGGCCAATGCAATTAGGCCAATGCCATTAAGCCAATCTCATTAGGCCAATGCAATTAGACCAATGCCATTAGGCCAATCTCATTAGGCCTATCTCATTAGGCCAATGCAATTAAGCCAATCTCATTAGGCCAATGTCATTAGGCCAATGCCATTATGTCAATATAATTAGGCCAATGCCATTAGGTGAATGCTATTATGTCAATATAATTAGACAAAATCTCATTAGGTTCATGTAATTAGGCCAAATCTCATTAGGTAAATGTAATTAGGCAAATCTCATTAGGCCAATACTATTCGATCAATCACAGGCCAATGCCATTAAGCCAATCTCATTAGGCCGATCACATTAGGCCAATGCCATGAAACCAACCTCATTAGGCCAATGCAATTAAGCCAACCTCATTAGGCCAATGCAATTAGACCAATCTCATTAGGCTAATGCCATTAAGCCAATCTCATTAGGCCAATACCATGAGGTCAATGTAATTAGGCAAATCCCATTAGGTCAATATAATTAGGCCACATCTCATTAGGTCAATGTAATTAGGCCAATCTCAATATGTAAATGTAATTAGGCGAATCTCATTAGGCCAATGCTATTCGGCCAATCACATTACGCCAATGCCATTAGGCCAATCTCATTAGGACAATGCAATTAGGCCATATTCAATAGGCCAATGCAATAAGGGCAATGTAATTAGGCCAATGCCGTTAGGGCATTGCAATTAGAATCACCGCCACCTAGTGGTGAATGGCGGTTGTTGTTACATCGCACGATCGTGAGAAGTGGCAGCGGCTTTGGGAGGCCTTCATCCAGCAGTGGATTGACTATGGCTCGTGATGACGAACTTCGCAAAAGAACTGCCCCCTCAGGCGTGACTGGGCGTGAATGGCACGGTTGACCCCATTAGCCCCAAAAGGTAAACTGCAGCGAAGAGGACGACCTCCTTGGGGTTGACGCAGCGAAGCATGAGGCGCGGCTCCCCACTCGCCCTGAAGCTGAGCAGCTCCCGGTAGTAGCGGAACACCTGCAGGTCCTACACACGTTCCACACTCAGGTTAGCATCCGGGGCCATCGCGTAACATATAAGCATGTCAAAGGTATTTACTGCTCAAATGACCACCTGTGTTCCTCTCCTGTTTACAGCCCTGCAGAGCCAGTGGTGCACATTCCACATTCCTGCGGTGGGGGCGAGTCTGTCCACGGGACAACCACTGTTGACTTCTCCACAAATTGGTAGGTATTTTATCTACCCCAGAGGGATGATGATGATGGGCTGAGTCAACCCCTAAGCCTCTGTCCGCCCTGAAGTATAAATGGATACTACCAGTTAAATTTTGATTTAAAGCTTTCGTGACTGCAGTAAATCATATTCTTAGCTCTTTCGGTAAAGTCACGTTGAAGGGAAACAATAAAATATATATTTTATTATTAAGAATACTACCAGTTAGTTGAGCTTCTGGTTGGGTGTGGTGGGGTAAAGTGTGGGTACGCTCACCTCTTACAACACGTCCGGTCACTCGTGGAAGAGTAGGCTAAATGCCCCTCCTATAGTTCGCTCTAGCGGAGGCCCTTCGAAAACACGAAATTAGCGAATTACGAGGGTTGAGCTAAAACTCACGATGTATCTCCTCCAGGCACGTTGGATAACGATGGCGGAACGCTGATGGCTCTCCGACAACCCCCTCACCTCGTCACTCCCCTCCCGTGCCTTCTCGGTCTGATCCTCGCCTGTGGCGCTATTTCAACGGTGGGGGGAGAGTGGGGGGATGTGTGGGGGGGGACAGAAAACATTAGATGTCAGCTTTTTGTTTAACAACAAGGAACAAATATTTGAAGCTGGTTTTTTGACATATTTGCGGTTTGACGAGTGGCCAGTTTTGATGCACAGTACAGGTGCTGCTGCGGCGTTTCGAGTTAATTCTTTGCTGAGCCCAGGGTGATAATTTGAGAGACAAAGATAGCGTCTCGTTTAGTGAGCCAGAGTCACCACGATGGCAAAGAGTAGTCGCATAAAACAATAAGCACATGACAATGTAGCAAATAGAAATCGGGGCAAAAACAATCGAATGTAAACCACAATGATATTTTTTAACGATATTTGGCTCAGACAAATTAATAAAAAAAAATCAGCAGCAAACTGGGCTTGCAATTCCGAGGTCGCCGCTTCGATTTTATTTTCCGGAGTGCCAGTTGAAGCAACGGGAACGTTTCTTGAATCTTCCCCCCCCACCCCCAATCATCGTCTCTGTCCTACCCAGCAGTGTAAATGGGTTCACCGCAGTCGATCGGCGGTCCTCGTGTGGTGGGGTAAAGTGTGGGTACTCCCACCTCTTCCAAGACATGCGTAGGCAGGGGGGGGAAGAGGGCCCTCCACAGCTCGCTCGAGTGGAGGCCCCTTCCACCAACAGTGGAGTTAGCCAGCAATTGCTGGGCTGCACCCTTTCCTTTTGAGAATGTCGCAGGCTGCCTGTGTGATTGATCTCTCTTTTCTGCTTGACATGTGGCTATGAATGCTAAACGCCGTCAAGACGTTTCTAGAATGAAGCCGATGCCTTTTATTTCATTAAGAAAATAAGTAAAACCACTTTCCACATTAATCGCAAATGGTTTATGAATTACAGCCCTCTGTCAATACACTGCTGGATGAAGGCGTCTCTATGCCAGTTCGGTTGTGGAGGCTTTTCGAAAACACTTCACGGTGGTGAGTGGGAGTTGGTGAACGGGGAAGCCTAGAACTGGTTCGGATATCGCTCGCCAATGTCGGCTGTGGCCGGAATTCGAACTCCAGATTTCCAAGTCCAAGCAGGCAATGTGCTAGCCACCACACGACCGTTCTACCCGCATCGTTAAATCTGCCTTTTAACACAACGTAATTATAGCTTGACATTTTAGGCAATTGGTATGCCGCTCTTCATTATTAAGTTAATGTATTAAACTCGTGGACAAAAGGAAATGGATAAAAAAAAACCTGAAAACAATTGCAAAGAAACGCGCGTAAGTTCTTGCACGCTGACAGACGGAAAGAGGAACACGTGGAGTTGAGAATACACGAACGTTAGAGGCGTCATCATTTTGCCTTGGGCAGGACAGGACATGGCTAGAAGGGACAATTGGCCACATGGTTGAGAATAATGATGGAGTGACAGCCAAAGGGGGAAGCACGTCCAAGATCTACGTCCACGACGGAGACGGAGCCGTGATATCAGCGCTGTGGTTAGAACTCCACAGCGCCGTTCCGCTGTGCACATGGCCTGTAATCCATCAGCAATGTGGAGGCAGCAGCGAGGGTTGGTGGATCGCACAAATGTTGTGAAACTTTTAAACTTCCTTCCCCCATGGGCGTCGAGGAGCCGTACCCTGGCTCAGGCAGAAGGTGGTGCAGAAAAAAATGTGGACTCCACCTGTTCTTTTTGTACGGGAGAGAGTGTTTCCCCTGAGCACACATGGGTTTTCTTCGAGTGCTCTGGTTAACTTCCACATGTAGACACTCATTCTCTTGGCCGATAACACCTTAACATAAAGAGGACCGCAGAGCTTGGGCAGTTGTTGGCGCTGGCTCACCGCGTGGCTGCCTCCCTCCGAGTCATTCTCTCTTTGAGAGTGAGCGTTACAAGTTGAAATTGTCGTGACTCATTGGCGGGGAGGGGGGGGGTTATGATTAAAAGCAAAACAAAAGCCTTTACAACGTTTGTGAGGTTGTTTTCTCACTCCCGTAATACTCCCAGACTTATTATAAACTCTACAAATACTTCTTCAAATTGATGTTGTGGAAACCGCCAGAGCATCCGTGAGGCAAGACGGTGACCTCAAATACACTGACCTGCACCGCCTGCGCCTGTGACCTCTGTCACTGTCGCTGTCATTAATTGAAAGCTTTCCGTTGGCATGCAGTGTGTCTCTTTCAATAGGGTGATCCGTGGAATTTTAACCACTGAGCATCCACCGCTGTGATGCAGGAAATGCGATACAATCGAGGGAGAAAGGACATCTGTGTTACGGGCGCATAATTTCAAAACAAAGGTTCGGTCGCCTCCTTGTCACTCTTCTAGCGCTACCACCACGGTTACCATTCCCATGAACTTGACTCATTGATTCTTCCTACCCATGCTGAGGACGTATGACTACCAGAATGACGTTTGTCTCGTCCACACTGAGTTCAGCGACCACACTGCAGGTCACGGCAACACACTCGCTCACCCATCCACTCACTTAGCCAATTACTCACCCACTTATTCATTCATCCACGCATGCACTCACGAACTCACTCGCCACATTGCAGATCACAACACTCCTCTTTTTGCTACTTGTTCTTGGGAATTCCCTCCCGTCGTCTCTTTTCCCCAAGTTTCTTCAATTACCTTGCTCAATTCAAGTTTCTGTTTGTGGCAGCTTGGCATTGCGGGGCCTTTGGGCCTGTGCTCAGCAACTGGTGATTTAAAAGAAGAATCTGCAACACGCCATAAACCCTAATTAAGTGTTGGCTCATTCAAGGCAGGTAATCAGAGCCCCGTGCGATGTGTTGCTGCTGGTAGGTGGGGGGGAGGGGGGCTAGAAACTGGTGGCCCAGGCGGAGAGACCGGCAACAATCTGCCAGCGCCGCACCAATGGTGCGAACTTCACAACAAACCAAACGTCATGACAAACCCAGGTGGGGGAGGGGGGGGTGACATCCACACTTACGCGCGCACACAGCCGAGGTGCACGTTACTGAACCCGGCAAACGCCGTCTCTGTCCGTGCATCTGTGTCGCTCTCGCCCTGCAGGGCATGCCCCACGCCCTAGGAAGGTATGCATGACGGCCGCGCTGGGCGTGAGCACCGTGTGTTTTTCGGGGTTTCGCTACGGCTCACGCCTAATAATTTTGATTGCCTTTGAAGTCTGGCCAAGTTGTTGGGCAGGCAGGCAAGCGCGGGCGGGCATGTGTGTTGCTGTCTGGGTCATGTGACAGCACGATGGTGTCATTTTTGTTCTGTGCTCATTAGCGATCGGAACCTAAACAACCCGTGGCTTGTAACTATGGTACCGAATACACTTTCGTTTGTTTCATTTGTGTTGTTGCTGTAACACATTTCTCCCAGATGTATTCCAACGTTGGCATTTCCATTTGGAACTCTTTTTCACAGAGCAGTGGACCACCTTGTTTTCTGGAACAGCACTGGATGATGATGTAATAGTTAATTCAGTTCCATAGGCCACTTTACTCACACTGTGGGCTCACATGTTAACAGTGTGAGAGATGAAATGTGGTATATTTGTAGAATGTTTCGCATGAAGCAACAGGCATAATGTGATATCTTAACCCGTCTCAGATTCAAACCCCTGAATCTCAGCTCAGAAGTCCCTGTCTTGGCTATTTCGAAACATCATGAGCCCCCTGGCCAACCCGGCATAAACATTCAGGGAAAAGAGATTTTTTTCAAACCAATAGTGAATTAGTTCACTATATATCATGGAACATGTTTCACAATCATCGCATGCATGTAGCATGTCACCACTTTGTATTTAAACAACTTGTAAACTGGTACATTGACCAGCCCTCGTGGATCGTGAGAACTGAAATCTGAGATTCCCTACTTAGGAGGACAATGGCAAAAGCATTCCTAAGTCTAATGCTATTGTCATTGCAATACAATAGTCTAATGCAGTAGCGTAGTTCTGCATGCCTGCCTCTGGGAACGAGTCACTGTGACATGTGCCACTCTCTGGAGCTGTGGTGCATTGCCACTGCCTACAATATGCCACGCAGTTACAATACTGGGTCAATCTCTGGCACAGCCTATTAGATGAGAAACACAAAGTTTGGCTGGCTGGCAAGTGCACGGTGGTGACGTCACCGCTCACATCTGCATGATGATGTCACCCACATTCCAGTGTTGAGCTGTGTCGCGCTGACGTCACTACGCCTTGCCCCCCCCTCTCCCGCCTACTCCCACCCACCCACTCTACCACCCAGGCCGTGGATCCCACGCAAATGTGCAGGCAGTGTCAGTAATCATGCAAATATAATTGAGTATACTTGGTATTCACGCCGTTCTTGCAGCACAAGGACATCGCAAAGGAAGACTCTACGTTTCACAGACGCAGTCGGCAGTAGTTTCACGGTAGGGGGCAATGTGGCTGGCTGTGGGTGATATCAATTGCATGAACGTTATGTTGAACTTCTTTCGCACCGTACGTAGCCAACCATGCCAATCGGAGGTGCGGGGAAGGACGATAAACTAAACACAAAAATGTATTCTAAAGAGTAATTTGAGTAAATTTTGATTTAAAGCTTTCGTGACTGCAGGGATTCATATTCTTGATTCTTTCGGTAAAGTCACGTAGAAGGGAAATATATTTTCATTATTTTATTGTTTCCCTTCTACGTGACTTTACCGAAAGAACCAAGAATATAGTAATTTGAGTAGTTCTACATTGAGTAAAGAGAAGTTCTAAATTGAGTAATTTGAAGTGCAATTTATATATTTGGAAAATGTGGACCATCACGCCAGAAACAATCGCGTTACTCTCTTCGAATGACGTCCGGGGATCTTTAACGTCCACTATGAAGCAGACGGCGCGTTAGTACGTTACGGTTCATACACCCACGGTAATAACCAGGGCAGCCTACAGGGTTTGAACCGCAAACCTCTGCAACACTGGGCCGCGTCACTGCTCGAATTTAGCACAGGCTATTACCGAGGAGGAATGGTGGCACAGTGGTTGGCGAACTGCGCTAAGAACCCGGTGGACTGAGACGTATTCCCAGCCACAGATATCAGTGGCAAGTTATACCTGAACCAGTCCTGGGCACCCACCTCCCTTGACAAGCAGCAACTGACCAGCGTGGTGAGGTATGGTCAAACAAACCCGTTCTACCACTATTATAAGCAAACGCGCAGAGTGGTGTATGTACGTTGAACTTCTTCATCCAGCGGTGGCTGGATCATGGTGATGACGACGATGGCATCGATGACGACGAATGTAAACTATACACCTTTGTGATTTGTTCTATTCATTCAACGGAAAGCCTACCCCAGATTAATTCGCTAGTGACAGGTTTCACCCGAAGCCATTTGAATGTTAAGCAATCGTGCGCACGTAATGAAATATTTTTATATATATAAAAAATACAAATACCTGCGCACTCTGTTCTCCCGGGCCATCTCTGGCTCATGCCCAGCCTTCTTTGCCATCCTTCCCCCTTCATCCATCACGCAGACAATACAGTAACGCAGCTGATGTGATCACTAGCTGAGCAATGAGAAACACGGTCACGTAGTTAAACGGAATTTAAAAAAATATATAATCCGATAGAGGAAGAGTCGGTCCATTTCAATGAGTTATTGTTACTGCATGAAAATGGCAGCGCAATGCCGTGGTTTTTTTTTGGTGTGTGGCTGTTACGATGCAAAGTGCAGTCGGCGATCTTTCCCCTGAGAGACCCGGTCCTCAAGTCGCCTGCAACTGTAATCACCATCCCTGGTAATAGCAGGGTAGGCGAAGGCGTCAGCGATGTTAGGAATCGCTGGGTAAAAAGGGACGGAACGCCCTCCTCATTTGAACGTGGCCACATGCAGCCACATGCAATGTGCAGTTGTCGTGTGATCTGTGAGCTCACGATGGTGTGTTGTGGTGAAAAGAGGCGCGTCTGCTTTCTAATCTTAATTACACCGAGAGACAGGATAGAAGAGGAGGCGTGCATGGGATTCTGATAGCAAACGCAAGCTGGGAGACGTGATGACTGAAAGTTAGCGGGCTTGGTCGGGTCAGGTCAGGAATGATGGCCGGTGGTCCGGACTATCGACGGTAGTGGAGCCAAGGGGGACCAAGCACACGCACACCAAGCTGAGACGTAACAATCTGCGAACGTCAGCACACAGTAGTTAAATGTTGCGAGATCGCTCTCCAACCACAACACTGGTGGTGATTGGCACGTTTGTTCATCACGTGACAATTGTGTTAATCGGCTGTGTCAGGTGGAAGAGGGTGTACAAAACGCATTTTACTCGTGCGATCTGACCCGAAAATAAATTATGAACCAGAGACAAGTGGCAACTGAATCTGTCTTATACCCAATCATTCTTAAGTCTACTTGGCCCGAAATTGAGCCACCTGCGTTTTGCATGCAGACGCCACACTACCGGTGATCACACAAGGGGCCGGAATACATGGTGCTGACCGCACTACACCCTCGTGCACCGTGCCAGCCTCCGTAGAATCAGAATCTGTATTTATACTGGAGAAATCCGATGAGGTATAACACTCTAACACAGATGTAGATCCATGATAAAGGTTTTTGGGTTAGATCGCGTTGTTTATAAATGTGTCGTAACCCTCCACCACCCGACAAGGCCAATCAGCAAAAAAAAAGTGTCACGTTGACAAAAGACAATTAGTTCACTACTTTAGCCCACCGGTGTGTTGAAGAGTGAATCCACAACATTTACGTTTGAATACGACGTTTCGCTGGTAATTACATCCAGCATCAGCATCCAGCATCATCGGGCAATTCGCCAGAATTGCCCGATGATGCTGGATGTAATTACCAGCGAAACGTCGTATTCAAACTGTAAATGTTGTGGATTCACTCTTCAACACACCGGTGGGCTAAAGTAGTGAACTAATTGCCTTTTGTCAACGTGACACTTTTTTTGCTGATTGGCCGTGTCGGGTGGTGGAGGGTTACGACACATTTATAAACAACACGATCTAACCCAAAAAACCTTTATTATGAATAATATTGGTCGCGAAAGCCTACGTGTTAAACTGACAGATTTAGGTGCTCGCTAACAGCACTCGCTCCCCAATAGTTTGTATGTAAGGCTAGGCCAGGGGTCGGCAACCACAATAACAAGAATAGCCATTTTTTTCGAATTCAGTAAAACAAATAACTACACTTCAAGAGCCACAATGCAACGTGGTGAATACGAGACGGTGTCCCTTAACGTCACGAAGCGGTCCCTAAAGAGATGCACGTGGCTCCAGAGCCGCAGGTTTGCCAATCCCTGCCCATGGTGAACTGGACTTACATGGTGAACTGGACTTCCATGGTGAACTGGTCTTCTTTGAACCTATCAACGTGACTTTACCGAAAGACCCAAAGAATATGGACTTCCATGGTGAACTGGACTTCCATGGTGAACTGGATTTCCATGGTAAATTGGTCTTCTTTGAACCTATCTACGTGACTTTACCGAAAGACCCAAAGAATATGGTCTTCCATGGTGAACTGGAGTTCCATGGTGAACTGAACTTTCACGGTCAGCAACCCAAATAAGAAGACATTTTTTTCGAATTTGAGTCCGTAAAGAGCCGCAGATTGCCGAACCCTGGGCTAGATGGAGGCGGTAGGGAGAGAGGGGGCAGCATCTCACCCAGAGTGTGAAATCTCTGGGGTGAGATGCTGCCTGGCTCCAAAGGGTTTGTCTGTGGGTGGGGGTTATGATAAATAACCACCACCATCATCATCATCTGTTTTGCCATTAAATAGAGGGCATGACGCACACGCCAGAGTAGCTTAGCGAATGGGGGGCGCGGGTGCTTATATAATTGCCACAAGGGATTTCGGTGTGAGGTGTGTGTGGTAATTAGAACGCTGGCGAACAGTGGAACAACCCAGACGTTCGTTATAAACACCTCATTCGAGACCGAAACATCATGGCGTGTGAGGTGTGTGTGTGTTTTTTGTTTTGGCGATGAAAAATATTGTTATTTTACCAACAAGCACATCAAAACATCAACCGGCCGATGCGCACAATCTCCTTCATGAAGTGTAAAGTTATCAGCAAGCCACACAGTCCTACGATTGTGGCCATGCAACCGAAACTTTGGGCTGCTTTGTTCTAGAGCAGTGTTTTTTTTTACTTAGCGGGTGCGAGACATGGAACATATTTATTTTTCAAGGTAAATCAAAACACAAAGTAAGCACGGGCACGTAACTACTTTATTTCATCAAACCTATGTATTTATTATCATTGTAAAAAGGTTTGCAGTAAAGGTTTAAGAACCGCTGCTTTAGATAAGTGAAATGTGACTTCATTCACACACAAACCCCCAGATTCTGCACACAGACTCGCCGCTAAATCCGGACATATCTTATAAACATTGTAAGAGCCCGATACGTATGCAAAGTCAATCGCTTATATAATCTAGAAAACTCCGTGCCTGTCACAGCAGCTGGGTGGTTTATATATATTTGTATTAATACTGTAATTTACGCATTCAGTTCTCGTCTTGCGTATGGCAAATGTGTTGAGCTACATGTCAATGTCGAGAGGGCTTCAGGAGAGTTCGTGTGGTTTTGCTAATATTATTATTACACACTTTTATTTAACTCTGTTGTTGTATCCTCAAAACTTGTAACTCAATTTTAACCCACTTCCCAATGTGGTATCGACTGCAAACTTGCTATACTTATGTCATACTGATGACAATACTATATTCTATCATAGAAAATCAATATTTTTAAACATTATTTTTGTAATATATGTTATGTTTCGGCTTGGGTATAATTGTCCACGGTCCCTTAAGTCATGGCAAGCTTCGGGGCCACTTCCTGGAGTCGTGGAGTTCTTCCATTAGTAGTACGGTACATTTAATAAAAGCGCGTTCTTAAAGAAGTTGTTTTTAAAATATTACTTATTTAAATGGAGTTCAGACCACGGCGGTTTGTGCTCAGTGTTCCAGAGTTTACGTTCCATGGCCACAATCACGTCTGACTTGGACATCTGTGGGGGGGGAAAAAAAGAGCTTCATAGCTCATCGGATTCCTCCAGTGTAAATACAGATTTTGATTCTTAATTGCACCACGTGCGTTAATTAAACGTCTCACGGAGTGCGGACCAGGGGCTTCACCTTGCGAAAACAGCAACGGGCGGGTTGAGCGGCCTCTCGCGTCGCAACTTCGGCCGCGGTGATCAATTGGCGATCAGCTCGCAAATGATTCGCGTTGTTTCAATCGCTATCGTTTTTGACATTAAGGTCTAAAACGAGGCTGTCAAATTGTCGACATAAGCTAAAGCCTTACGGTTACCGTGGTAACCGCTTTGTTAAACACGCGTGTAAACTTTGTGGTGGGCATTGCTGCCCCGGGGGCAACTTCACGCTGGGGCGTTTCCTCGACGCGCCGGCAAACATCCGCCCGCGGGGCAGAAGCGCAATTCCGTCTCTAAACGCTCCAGTTAGACGCGCTCTCATTGGTGCGCTTCGCGAACGTTCGCAACATCGCGCGCTCCGATTGGTTTCCAGTCCGCCTCCCTCACCCCTCCACATCGTGCGCGCCGAGGCCTAAGTCACGGCCTTGTTGGCGGAGGAGACTTCCCGGCGTCGCTCACGGCTCCGCCGCGGTTAACCACCGCCGCTAGACCCCCCCTCTCCCCTCCGTCCAAGCCGGCGTTCGTTACCGGCGGTCACCAGTGGCGTGCTAAGGATTTACAAAGTTTTATAGGAGAGCAAAATGCCGCACCGGGGCGAGACGAGGAAACGCCGCTCAGCCTCCCCGCGCCTAAGCCAGGTGAGACCGCTTTGCGTGGGGGTTGTCTTTCAAAGTTGTGATCGAACTTCGCCTTGTTATACAATTGTTTGTTGTTGTACAGTTAGGCGGTATTATGGTGGTTGGTCGCGGTCTTTTTTTTTGTTTAATCGTCGAGAAAGTGTGAGGGGGCGAGGTGTTGTGGTGGAGTTTGTTGTGTGCTCGGGTGGAAATTCGCCGTTGATATGGTGGGACGAGGCAAATATATGTTACGGCGGCGACTTGAGTTGTTAATAAGTGGTACTCGATTTTAATCAGCCGTGAATGGATGAATGGATGATGTGTGTGTGGTCAGATCGCTCCGCTCGACGTGAAGGTTACGAAGAAGTGTAATTCAATTTCGAGTCAAGTGCACGAATTGTTACAGTAAAAGTGACCGCGTTTTAATTAATCGTCATTCATGATCGACAATCGTCAAGCTCATAATGTATCGTCATCTTCGCCGTCGTAAACTTCAACCTTAACATCATTGTCACTGTTATTTATCCGCGCCGTTATCGCCATCGTCAACATCACGAGCAACTGTGTTACCCGTGGCTCCAGCGGGTGTAAAGTCAAGGGTTGTAACGAACGAGCAAGGGACGGGAGAGGGACGTGAAAGGAGGAGAGAGAATGTGAGATGATAGGAAAGGGACGGAGAAACGGGGAAGCACGGGACAGGAGGGATGACGGAGTGGGAAGAAAGAGGCTAACATCAGGGCATCTACGTCCTGATGTGCAAAACAAGCTGTGGAGCTCATCGGATTCCTCTAGCATGGTGCTTCAACAAAAATGTTAATACGTCTGAGAATTTGCAACAGCACCACGATAAATGTGCTGCTGCCTCCAGGCTCTGGAGACCACCTGGAGAAGATTCAAGGCCACGTGTTGACAATGATGGCGAACAAGTCGAGACTGTTATGGAAGTGGAGACTCTCTGACTTGTTGAAGCTATTAACATACATTTGCTATCATGTAACAGTGTATTATTATCCGTTATTTTTCCATAAAAAACTATAGTCCCATATAAGTGTTAACATTTTTTGAAGCACCCTGTATTCTTACGCAGCTGCACGGAGGTGTAGCGGCTGTATATTCACAGTGGGCGGCGGGGAGAGGGGCAGGGGTTCAGCGTGGGAGGCTTTGAGCTTATTTAGATATGTAGATGCACAGTTATCGACACTATAATCGTCCCGCATGGTCAATAAAAAATATTGCTGGTTTGTGGTAGTCAACGGCGATTGTCATGTGGATTAGCTGGTCCTTGCAAGAGGAACGTGAAATTCCCACCCCACTCGAATGGGCAGGAAGACCCTAACCTTTCTGACAGTGTAATTCTCGACTAACTCTGCCCTTTGTGGATCCGCTCCAGCCATGTGGGTCGTGGAGGTCAGTTGACCATACTTCTCTATGCTGGTGAGTGCTGGCTGACCAGCACACACTTGAGTACCATTCACAGTTGGACACAAGTATCAATGATAGATTATTATAACAGTCTCTTGGGATTATATTGCTAACAATGTTTAGTTTTATATCGCGCTACGGAACTGCAGACCAGCTGTGGTCCTCTATAAAGATGTGTTCAGCCTATAAGCGAGTGCTTATTTATGCGGGAGGAAATAAACACCCAGAGGAAACCCACATATGTGAGGGGGTAACACTCTTATCCCATGCAGAAGGAACACATTTTGCCCTGCTGGATAGTCAGAGTATGGCTCTTCGACACCCACGGGAAAGGAGTTTCTCAACGTTTGACCGACCCATCAATCCTCACATCCACAGTGCTGGATTATATGCGGGCGTCACCACCGCCCGGCTAACCAGTACACATGTGTGCGTGTTTCTTTGTGTCTGTCGACGCTTTGCATAAAGCGCGTGAAAGTGGAAGGTGTTCCGGACGATCGACACAGGCGGAGGGAACACAAGAATTCCAGTGGACGCGTCGACCTTAGAGATCGACAGAGGGTACACGAGGCGGCGCCGGCACCGGCAGATGCGAGCTTGCGTAAGAAAATCAAGCAGGAGCCGCGCGACAGGAGCGAGCATGACGACAGTGCCGGCGATCGCAAGAGGGAGCTGGCCCGGAACGGCAGAGAACGCGTTCACGACAGGGACGATCAGAGAAGAGAAGATCAGAGAAGGGACGATCAGCGGAGAGACGATCAGAGGAGAGACGATCAGAGAAGAGACGATCATAGAAAGGACGATCAGCGGAGAGACGAGCAGAGAAGACAACGGAGCGATGAGCAAAGAGTTGATCGTGCCGGCGCCTCGCACAGGCACGACAGGGAGCGCCAGCGGGTGCAGGAGTCTAGCGGGGGCGATGCTGCCACCGACACGCAGCGCGAGCGAGAGATGAACGACCGGCGCCGTCTAGCGGCTCGCCAGCGGCGCCAGCAGCAGTCGCCGGTGGACAACCCTTTCGAAACACAGTCGCCCACTGAGAGCCAGCGCTTCGGGCAGCCGGCCGACGCGAACGAAGAGGAAGAGCCGGGCGACGGCGGCGGTGGAGTCGAGAAGGAGCAGCCGAACTTCGCGCTATCGGGGGCGCTAACGGAGGACACCAACACGTTCCGCGGCGTCGTCATCAAGTACAACGAGCCGCCCGAGTCGCGCATGCCGCGCAAGCGTTGGCGGCTGTACCCGTTTAAGAATGACGAGCCGCTGCCCATCATGCACGTACACCGGCAGAGTGCGTACCTGCTGGGGCGCCAGCGCCGCATCGCCGACATCCCCATCGACCACCCCAGCTGCTCGAAGCAGCACGCTGTGCTGCAGTACAGGTGGGGGCAGGGTGGGGGGCACGTTGGGGCCGCTTTATCACATTTGAGTAACTTGTGTGTAATTTTTCCAATTTGTGAACTGTGCATGTTAATCCCAGCACACGATGGCCTACTCTTTTCGAATTACGTCACAGGGTCTTTTCACCCCATACATCGCTGAGTTGTGTCCATTGACTCGCCAACGATTACCATGCTCTGCAAGTCGCAGAAACGATTCCGATTGTCGGCATCTGTAGCATTTTGCACAGCAGCGGTGTTTACCTGAACGACGCATGCCTGTGCTTGCCTGGGAACACTGTGTGGGAATTAAGCATGTGTATGTGTGCACGTGTGTGTGTGTGTGCGTTCATTGGGAGTGGTGGCACAGTAATGAGTTGCGCTACGGACCCAGTGGCCTCAATTATATTCCCCGACACGGCTAATAACTTTAGGCGAGTGATATCTAAAACCAATCCTAGGCCCTCAGTAGGCCCATTCGGCCTTAAATTAGTACCTGGTGTGATGTGTAAACATCGCCACTAGGGAGACAAAGGCGGCCGGGCATGGTGCTGGTGCTCATCACATTACCTCCTCGTGTGCTGTTCTGGCCTTCATAGGTTCTCAGTAACAGCACTTGCCCCAATAGTCTGTTAAGTTAAAGCTATTAGCGGGTGGGGGGGGGGGGTCTTTGTAGCGGTTAGTCCACTGCTCTACGAACCCCAATGACCCAAGTTCAGTTGACTTCACTTCGCCATCAATGCTCACTTAGCACTTACCCCAATGTGTAAAAACATTGCCACTTGGGAGACAAAGGTGGCTAGGTGTGGTGCTGGCCACCCACCCCCTCGTGTGCTGTTCACCCCCTACATAGGTGATGGCTAAAAGCACTTACCCCAAAGTCTGTTAAGGCTATACTTGGGGATCTTTGTCTTTGTGTGTGCGGCGCAGGCTGGTGGAGTTTGAGCGTCAGGATGGTACGACGGGCCGGCGCGTGAAGCCGTACATCATCGACCTGGGATCGGCCAACGGCACGTACCTCAACAACCAGCGCATGGACGCGCAGCGCTACTACGAACTGCGCGAGCGCGACGTGCTCAGGTTCGGCTTCAGCTCGCGGGAGTACGTGCTCCTCCACGAGGGCAGCGACACCACGGTCGTGGGGGCAGCCGGCGACGAAGAGGATGAAGAGGAGGAGGAGGAGCAGGAGGCGTCTGCCGAGGAGATGGTTGGGGAGGCGGCGAAGGCCAAGGAAGACGACTTGAAGACGAAACGGTCCGTGATGAGCAAGAAAAAGTGAATGGCGCAGAACGGATCGCCCGCCAGGAGAAAAATATTCCCTGCCCTGGCACGCCACATCCAGTTTTACCTCTCACTACGAGCCGTGGCTACTACGACTGGTCACGGGTCGCCTACTCCCAAACCTTGCACAGCGACCCGAAAAAAATATTCAGGAGCTGAATGAAGAAATCGAGGGACCCCCCCCCCCTCCCCTCCCACTCTGGTCGTCATCATCGCTGTCATCGCGAAGTGGAGAAGCGATGATGAACGGAGCCTCGGGATAAACAATATGGGCCGCCGTTGTTGAGACAAGGGCCTCCTGGGGAACGTGGAAAGGTGGTCGAACGGAGCTGTGCACAACGATGCAGTCGTTGTATATTTGTGTTATTTGGGTGGTGGGGGGGGGTGTTTGCACGCGAGTGACCATAATCTGCCGGGCATTGAACGCCGCGCTAATTTTTCGTTTGAGATGGATTCTGGCGAACGTTTGCGGTGTGCGCTCGAGAGAGAGCCTCTGTACGATCGGCGGTAGTTTTCTGCCGTGAACAACGTGCCATTGTCGCAGAGTTGATCGGCTCTCCGTCAGTCGTTTAATTTTGCAAATGATGAGAAAGCTCATGGCAACAGAAACATTGAAGCAAGACTGGAAAAACAAACAGATTTAACAACTTGCAGAGATGCCCGCATTGCAAGTGCTCATGTGTCGGTCTACGTATGGGGCTCCCAGAGGCCCATAGCAGTGGCGAACATTGACGGCTGTGCTGTACTGATGAGTTCTATTGAGGTCGAAACATATCTAGAGTTGTGTGCTTGTTTCACCGCTGCCTGTCAGTATGGCCACATGTTCTCAACTTTTTGATTTGGTGGCACTAAACAAAATCATCACAAATTCAGTTATTTTGGGCTGATGGTCTGGACAAGGCTGAGAGCATTTGTACATGCGATGGTGCACGCTCGTGTGTGTTGTTGAATCTTAGCCAGTCCACTGTTGGATCAAGGCCCTCCCCATGCTGTGTCCGTCATGGTGGTTGTTTGAACATGCTTCACCACGCTGGTCAGTGGTGGGGGGAGCTGACTAAAGCCTCTGCGACATCACGAAAACGGTGGCAATCTCTTAACTTCGCGGGATCCCACTCCTTAGAGCAAGTTTTGTGGGACAACCTGGGACACACAGCCTACGTGTATAGGCAGAAGAGCAAGAGGCGCTTTTGAGTTTCCCCTTTAAGTTAAAAGGGGATGCTGCCCCTGCAGTGTAAAGATCAGCACACTGGATTTGCAGTCCAGAGGCTGCCAGTTCGGTTCCATCTCCCTTGCTCTGTCCGCTTGAATAGACCCCATTTGAAATTAACCCCTCTGCATAGGGACTCGTAGACTTGCAGAGCACCCATATATTTGGGACTCGCAAACTAACATAGGACTTATTGACTTACATATAATTCATAGGATTGCAGGAGTTTAACAATCCGTACCTATCGGTGTGCGTCATTACACCCAACCACATACGGAGTGTCCTTGTGTTTTGTGCAGACGGTGTTGCCTTCTGCGTCTGCCGCATGGAGACGCAGGTCAGGGCTCAGGGTTTAGTTGTGGTTTCTCCGTGACTCTGTGCGTCTCGCTTTGTGTGTCTCTGCGTCTCTCTTCTCTGTGTCTGTCGCTGTGTCTGTGTCTTGTCTCAGTTGATTATCATAAATTAGAACCTCCCCAAACCAACTGAAAAACCAACCCCAATCTTGAAATAAAAACAAACTTCCTGCTTAGATGAGCATTTCGGCAATGGTGTTCTTCCATTTACAGCCACGATCCAGTGGTGGAAATTGAACATTTCTATAACAGGGGCGAATCGATACACAGGACGACCACTTAACTTCCCCACAACGTGGCCCTCGTTTTATCGACCCTGAAGAAATGATGGGCCCGAGTCCAATCCCCATTCTGGACCTTTGAGCCACCAGATTGCAGTTTAAAATGAAAAGGCGCATCCCCGAAATTCCTTGCGCATGCCAGTGCCAACAGGATAGCGCCAAAAGGGCCCACCATTGCCACAGCCCCCATTCATCGCCACCGACAACCTTGCAGTGCCAACGAGAAATTAAATACGGAACGGTGACGCAAAGGTTCAAGGTTGACCATTCTTGGATCTGCGTAACGGAGTGAAAGGTGGTGCAGCGGCTTTCGTGCGTCGCTGCCGGCCGAAGGGGCCCCCACCAAGTGGTTGATCGGTTTGAGTTTAGAGTTGAGTGCGTTTAACGAGGGGTGATACCTCAAGAGAGACCAGGATAGAGGAGTCTCAGCTGCAAAAGAGTGACCTGTGTCACCTAAATGACAAAAAAACAAAAGTAAAGTACTTCACAGCAAATAGACGTTCTAGAGGGTATTTTGGCCTACTCTTTCACCGTAACCTGACGTCTTGGAAGAGGTGGGAGTCTCTCGAGACCGTCTCCCTTGTGGGCAGGTGTGCGTCACGCCCCCCGGCGCGTCGCCCTGCTCCACGGGGAGCGGGAGTTTGCGCGACCGTGAATAATAATGCTCGTCGGGTTTTCCCCCAACGCCGGTTCTTGTTGTGTGGCGCTGCGCTCCGTCCGTCCGTGGGTCCGTCTTTTGCACGTTTCGCCGGTACTCCTCCGGTCGGAGTGGAAGTGTGTCGTAGAACGCCGCGCGCGCCCGATGTTTGATCAAGTGCATCCCACGTCAACCGTCGGTGTGCGCAACGTTTTGTTATTTTACGTAAATCAGTGCCGTCTGCATCACGTCGCGGGCAGGTCAGAACGTCGGGCAAGCTTCAAGTTTTGTTTGGTTGAACTGGCGTGAGAACTAAAGTTGGGGGGGGGGGGGGGTGGTGGGGGCCGAATAGAAGAGTCTCATTTGGAAGGGTGACCTCAGTCACCAACAATGACGAAAGCAAAAGAGAAACGGAACGTGGTATGGCAATGAAGCAAATATCAATCAGGACAAAAATACAAGCGTCGCTGAAATGATTGCATTCACAAAATGTTAAATCAAAAGTGAAATGTTAACTTGCCTACGGCGCAGATCTGCCTCCAGATCAATCGCAGCACAGACGAAATGAGACAGATCCCCCGTACAGCCTTAACAGACTTTTGGGGCAAGTGCTGTTAGCGAACAGCTCTGAAGGACGGAACGGCACACGAGGGGGTGGGTGGCCAGCACCACGCCTGACCGCCTTTGTCTCCCTAGTGAGTACCAGGTACACACCGCACCTGGTATTCATTTGAGTCGATCTAGGGGAAACCTATGACTGGTTCAGATAATCGTCATTGGTGTTGGACGTGAGCAGGGATCGAACTCGGGTTACTGGGATTCGTAGTGCAGCGCGCTAACCGATACACACACGCACACACTCATCGTACACGCAGGAGGGCTACATTCGAATCGGCTGCTCTCTGCGCCTACCAAACATCGGGAGCGTACAGCGCGAAAACGACTCCAGGTAAAAGGCGGGCCGTGGTTTCGGTCACGGGGACTGGAGTTTCAGAGACGCCACGCTCGGCTCCGAAACGAAACGGTGACGGCGCGTATCCCAGGTTTCTCCACGGCCAGTACTATTGTGACAGGGAAGGTAGCTTGAACCGATTACATTTTTCTAACGAATAGTATTTTTGTATGGTTAAGGCGCGTCGTCGTAATATAAAATGGCCGCGTTTTCGTCTTCGCTGTTTAGATTTATCAATTGTACAATGCGCTCTACGTTTTGGGGTTCGCAGTGTCGAGGTGTAACACGTAACACTTCTAGCGCTTCCCCCCCCCCCCCCCAGCCGAGGCCATGCCTTGCACACGCTTAAGCACCGGGTCGTTGCTTTTCCACTGCGCCGTTAGAGCCGATGCCACCGACATCGTGCACGGCGAACGAGTCGGTGCCATGCAGGGGACGCCATGCCCTGGAAGCGTACCGACTGACGTCACAACCCCCCCGGCCCTGCTTGGCCCCGAGCCACTCGGACGTCTTGTGAGGGCGGCGTATCATGGTTTGGTTCTGGCTCGGCACTGCAGATAACCAATGGAAAAACACCACCTGTACCGCGCTGGCTTGGCTCGGGTGTACGAGTGGATGCAAGTTACGTTTGGATCTGGTTATAGGTGTGCCCTTAAGTCGATGTGTTGCTTTATAAAATAAATGGATTTACGTACGACCCCTGAACAGTTTCTGCGTGTTGCGATGAGCAAATTAATCACCCCCGCCGTGTCTTATTCTGCTGTTCTTTTCCAGTTGAAAAAAAAATGGAACAAAAGCTGAGAAAGTGCCCAAGGAAGTGTGACGGAGATGGCGCACGCTTCGAATTGCACCGAGAGGCAGAAAGAGGAGCCATGCGGATTGCAGTGCTTGCAAGTTAAAAAAACATCGGCTTTTACGAAGAAAAGCCATTGGAAGTCTGGACGGGACGCGTCGCTAGAAGGGGCTAGTGGCAGCCCCCTGGAGATGGAACATAGAAATCGGTGTGTATGCAGGCGCTAGGTGGGTTGTTGGTGGTGATGGGCAGTATTGGTGTGTGGGGAGTGGTAGTGTAGCGATTAGCGCGCTGAGCTACCAATCGTGCGACCCGGGTTCGAGTCACGCTCGCAGCCAACACTCGTGACGATTATCTGAACCGGTCCTGGGACTCCGCTAGGTCGATTCAGCTTCAAAGGAGTACGCAGTGTGATGAGTAAACATCGCCACTCGGGCGTGGTGTTGGACACACACCCCCTCGTGTGCCGTGCCGGCCTTCAGAGGCGCTCACTAACAGCACTTTCCCCAGCAGTCGGAGGCTATAGACTATAGAGGTTAGTGTGGGGGTGGGGGGGGGGGCATCTTTGCCGTGTGTGTCTATTCATGCAGTCGTCACAAGCTGTGCCATGCCGCCTGTAACTGGATCAGTGCCCAGGTGTTCACCGCCGCCGCCTCTTGCAGCAGCAGTGGGAAGCATTACGCTCGCACGAGCGGTAATTCCACACGGCTCTGTCGGCTAAACCGCGCACGGCTCACGACACCCCCAGGGGACAAGGTGAAAGGGGGGGGGGGGGGCAGTTGATTTACGGCAACAGCAACCCGCGCAGTCCACTGCCTCGACTCATTTCCATACAGGGGGAGGAGGTGTGGGGGCCGATGGGGAAATCGCCCCCCCCCCCTCTAAACGCGAGCGGCGAATATCCAAAACGAAAAGACATCGGAGCCCCTGGGGCTTTATGATTGAGTGCTTTATTTAACCCCGTGTGTGTGTGCGCGCGATATCCCACGAGCTCTTCGCTGGCGGTGTGTGTGGGTTAATTAGCCGGGGGGCCGGGGGGGGGGGCAAGGTACACGACAACACCCCGGCGGACTTTCGCAAAACCCCACAAAACATCCCAGCGGGGTTACAAACGGTAAAGGGAAAAAAAAGCCATCGCCACCATCACCGCCGCCACTGCTTCCTTCCTCCTGCCAAGATGCCATTCCCGTTGTTTGTGCCGTCGATGCGTCTCCCGACGACCGCTATCTGCATCGTCCAGTCTTTGGTCTTCTTTTCCCACTTCGTATTTGGCCTCCGGGTGCAATTCCAATGTCCGCCTCGGTGACCTGCCCTCCTGCATCCTCACCGAGATCGATTTCCAACTTCTCAGTTGCTTACCCTATACCGCCACGAATCGAAATCGCACCGTCGCTGTACACTATATACATTGGCTTTTGCCAATTTTTTTCAACTGCGCGCGGCAGCTCCTGTGAAGTGTTTACGTTGAGCATCGCTGAATAAAATTAAAAGCGCGATTTGTAAAAAAAAAAACAGGCTGAAACATTTCTATGTATAGAGGACTGCAGAGCTTTGGCAATTGTTGGCAGCGCCGGGTTACCGCCTGACTGCTGCGGCTGCCTTCCAGCAAGTCTATGGTTTCTCAGCTTTGTAGCAACGCCGTGCGTGTTGGGGTGTGTTTAGATGGACGGTTGAGTGGGTGGATTAATAATTGGGTGGGTGGGTGTTTGAGTGAATGGATGGATGGTTGAGTGGGTGGTTGAGTGGATGGATGGTTGAGTGGGTGGTCGAGTATTTCGATGGGTGGATGAGTATTTGGGTGGGTAGATGGATGGACGGTTGAGTGGGTGGCTGGTTGAGTGGGTGGATAAGTATTTGTGTTGGTGTTTGCGTGGATGGATGGTTTAGTGGGTGGTTGGATAGACGGTGGAGTGTGTGCGTGTGTATTTGGGTGGGTGACTGAGTCGATGGTTGACTGGGTAACTGGATGGATTGGTGGTCGGATGGACGGATGAGTGGGTGTGTGTGGTTGGAGGTCAGAGCGGGTCAGTTGTGATGATTGCTGCTCAAGAATCAAGTCTCGACACGCGCGATAGCTGTGCTACGAGCGGTGACGCCAGCGCAATGCGCTGCTCTATGCGACTCGCATACACAGGCACATGCGATACATAGCACATGCACAATACCAGCCATACAATACGATAAATGCATACAGGGTAATTCATTTATGGATACCCCACTGATTTTGAACGATGACTCAACTCCACAGCAGATTGAATGTTGTGAAAGCGATGGCTCTGTGTCTTGCAGAAGGGGAGAGGCCTCGCAAGCCGTAAGAGGTTGTATTGAGATTGGCAGGAGACGTGCGGAGGCTCCAAAAAATGTAATGTTTTTTTCTTTTTGCTGTAAGATTTATCCGCTGCCTCTTGAGTGGGGTATCCATAGATGGGTCACCCTGCATGCAACGAGCATACACAACAATCACGTGTGCAGAAGACGCGCAGATGTATATGTAACGACGCACATGCATACAACAGATAAAAAAATATCCCCCGTGTAGCCTTTCTGAGACTGTTGGGGCAAGTGCTGTTAGTGAGTGCCTATGAAGTCCGGCATGGCACACAAAGGGGGTGCATGGCCAGGACCACGCCCGGCCGCCTTCGTCTTCCAGTGCTCATGCTTACACAACGCACCAGCTCCTCATTTTGAGGTCCAGTCGATCTAGGGGAAGCCCAGGACCAGTTCAGATAATAGTCACTGGTTTTGGCCGTGAGCGGGAATCTAACTCGGGTTTACTGGGTTCATAATGCAGCACGCTAAGTGCTGTGTCACAGCTCACCACACCCACGCATGTATGCACGTATGTACATTGACCTTTCGCACCGTATGTAGCCAACCGTGCTAATCGGAGGTACAACATAACACACGCGCTACGCATATATACAGCACGTACATTCACTTAATCGGTGCACAAGCCTGGAGAGACATGGAGATAGATGGACAGAGAGCTAGAGGTGGACAGAGCTTTCAGAGCTGACCAAACATCCCAATAATATAGGACCACAGAGCTTGGGCAATTGATGGCAGCTGGCTGTGGTTTTCACGATTTCACGTGCGGCTTCACCGATTCTGCGGTGGCCCCTTTTGGTTCCGCGATTTGCGCTAACGGCGACGACGCCTGTACACAAAACGTCGGCAATCGTTGCTATCGCTTGTTACTGCTGCAGGGACAAATGCACACGGCCGTCGCCTAAAGTTCCGTCTCCTTCACGACCCGAAATGCCTTGGGAGACGCCAACCCCACGGTCGTGTCTGTCGGCGAGGTCTTCTGCTTCTTGTTCTGCTGCTGCGGCTGCATCGGCCGCTGCTTTGACTCCTGCTGCTTCGGCCGCTGCCTTGACTGCTGCTGCTGCTTTGGCTGCTGCTTTGGCTGCAGCTTTGGCTGCTTCTTTGATTGTTGCTTCTTCTGCTGCTTTGACTGCTGTTGCTGCTGTTGCTGCTGCTGCTGGGCCGGCGTTCCCCAGCATCCGTCGTCACACACGTAGTACTCATCGGACATGGTCGTGTCCGTGTCGGTGACGGCGCTGCTGCAGGAGAACACCTCCGCCATCTCCTCGTCGTGGTCGTCGTCGTCGTCACCGCGGACCGTGTCGCGGCTCGCGGCGCTGGGCCTGCCTGGGCCCCGCGTCGCCCGCGGGCCTCCCCCGAGGAGCCGCGCGATGTCGCCCGGGTCCTCCCTGGGCCACAGCATGGTGTGGTCGAACACGTGCACCGTGCAGGGCTCCGTCTCGTCGCCGCCGTCCCCGCCGTCGCCTCCTCCTCCTCCTCCTCTCGCCTCGGGGTGGAAGACGTCGGCGCTGAGGTGCCGCATCCTGCGCAGGTGCTCGTCGGGCAGCGCCAGCGTCGGCAGCGGCTGCCGCTGCGGCGCCGTCGGCGGCGTCGGCAACGACCGCGGTTGCGACGACGGCGCCGGAGGCGGGAACGAGTACCCCGGGTCCTCGTCGCGCAGAGGGCTCGGGGTGACGTCTCCGCACTCGGGGCACGAGCGGGGCCTCGCGCCGGCCGAGCCGACGTGCAGCGACGCGTGGAACGTCCTGGGGCCCGCCTGCCGCACCCCGTCGGCGCCGCTCAGCCGGTTCTCCTTGGCGCCGGCGCCGCCGGCTCCCGTGCCGCCGCCGCCGCCGCCGCCTTGGCAGCGCAGCAGCGACAGCCTCCGCTTGCGCTCGCCGTCGAGCGCGCGGCGCGACGCGACGATGAACTCGTAGACGTGCGGGCGGTAGCGGCTCGCGTACGCCGCCAGCGCCAGCCGCGTCGGCCTGCCGCCGATCAACGCCCCGCCGTTCGTCCCGCCGCCATCGCCGTCGCCGTCGCTCCTCTTCGCGTCGACCGCCGCCTCCCCGCTCTTGCCGCCCGCCGCGGGCCGCGACCCGCGGGTGAGGTCCACGGACCTCACCCCAGCGATGCGCCACGGCGCCTCGGCCCAGTCCCCTTCCTCCCCGACCCGCTTGGACGCCTTGCCGAGGGTTCCGAACAGCAGCTGGATCCCTCCGTTGCCGCCGCCGTTGCCGCCGCCACCGTTGTTGTTTTTGTTGAGGTTCTCCTGGGCTCTTTTGTTGTTGTTGTTGTTGTTGTCGCTGCTGCTGCTGTTGCCAGCCCCAGGAGGTTGTTGCGCCGAGCAGTTGTTGGTGTTGGCGCTGCGCTCTGAGAAGGGGGTTCGTCTCGTTGGGGTTTTGACCCCTGTCGGCAAAGGGCTCGTCGTGGGTTCTTCCTCGGAGGTCGGTGGCGGCTGCAGCTGCTGCTCTTGCTGCTGTTTCTGCTGCGCCTGCAGCCGATCCTGCTGCTCCTCTTTCTGCTGCTGTTGCGACTGCTGAAGGTCTTGCTGTTCTTTCGCCCGCTGCTGTTGATGGTCCTGTGGCTGTTGCTGCAGAGACTCCTGCTGATCCTGTTGTTGCTCTTTCTTCTGCTGCTGCCCTGTCTGATCCTGCTGCTGCAGAAGATGCTGCCCTTTCTCCTGCTGCCCTATGTCCTGCTGCCCTATTTCCTGCTGCCCTTTATTTTGCTGACATTTCTCCTGCTGCCCTTTTGCCTGCTGCCCTTTCTCATGCTGCCCTATCTTCTGCTGCCCTATCGCCTGCTGCCCTTTCACCTGCTGCCCTTTCACCTGCTGCCTTATCTCCCGCTGCCCTTTCTCCCGTTGCTCTTTCTCCCGCTGCTCTTTCTCCCGCTGCTCTTTCTGCTGATGAAGATACTGCTGCCACGACTCCCGTTTAAACTTCCGGCTCCTGATCTCCGTGAGCTCCGGGCCGGGTCTTTCCACGCGTCCATCGACGAGCACAACTCCCGATCCCTCCGGTTCCTCGGCCGGGCGTTTGTTCCCTCCGCCCTGCCGCGCGTCCAGTGGGGTCTCCCCACCGGACCCCCTCCCAGCGGGAACCTCGCTGGTCCCCATTCGCCTCGCCGCCGCCGCCCTCTGCGCCAGGCGCGGTGCACGCATGGCGCTCAGCACCGAGTGCGGCATCGCCGCCGCCGTCGCTGTCGCGGCGTCGATCCCCTCCCGCTTCTCGGCCCCCTCCTCCTTCGCCTCCTCCTCCTCTATCCCCTCGATCCCCACCACCGGTGTCCCCTCTGGCCCCCCTGGCGAGAAGACGGAGAGTGCCCCCTGCGGCCGGGGGAATTCGTGGGGGCGGGCGCCGGGGTTCCGCCGGCCCGGGCGGCGTGCGCAGCGCCACTCGGCCTCCGTGCTCCCCGCGCTCCCCGCTGCGCCGACGCCGCTGCCTTCGGGAACTTCCTCCGCGAAGCTTCTCGTCCTCTTGTTCCTGCCGGCGCTCTGCTGGCCAGACTCTCCCCCTCCTTCTACTCCTTCACCTCCTTCTCCCCTTACTCCCTCTCCTCCTTGTCCAACTCCTCCATCTCCTCCTCCCTCTCCTGCTGCTCCTCCTCTTCCGCCTCCAATTCCTTCCACCGCTTCTCCCTCTCCTCCTCGAGCCCCACCTCCAGTCTCTCCCGCACCTGCTGCCACCGCCGGCACTCTGCTCCGCCCGCCCTGGATGCCGCGACCGATGGCCGGGCTCGACACGGTGTCAGGCCTCGCGTCCGGCGCCTTCAGTTTACTCTCCCTGACCCTCGACCCTGGCGTCTGGTTACTGACCGGCGTGGACCGCTCACCGGTCAGCGTGGCGAGACGCTCGCTGCCCGGGACTGGCCGTTCACTGGCTGGAGGGCACCGGTCACCGACCAACACTGGTAGGTCTCTGGCTGGAGGGGATGGGTCACTCACCGGTGGGGGCCGGTCACTGGCTGGAGGGGACCGGTCACCGACCGACACTGGTAGGTCTCTGGCTGGAGGGGACCGGTCACCGACCGACACTGGCAGGTCTCTGGCTGGAGGGGACCGGTCACCGACCGACACTGGCAGGTCTCTGGCAGGAGGAGACCGGTCACCGACCGACACTGGTAGGTCTCTGGCTGGAGGGGACCGGTCACCGACCGACACTGGCAGGTCTCTGGCTGGAGGGGACCGGTCATTGACCGACACTGGCAGGTCTCTGGCTGGAGGGGACCGGTCACCGACCGACACTGGCAGGTCTCTGGCTGGAGGGGACCGGTCACCGACCGACACTGGTAGGTCTCTGGCTGGAGGGGACCGGTCACCGACCGACACTGGCAGGTCTCTGGCTGGAGGGGACCGGTCACCGACCGACACTGGTAGGTCTCTGGCTGGAGGGGACCGGTCACCGACCGACACTGGCAGGTCTCTGGCTGGAGGGGACCGGTCATTGACCGACACTGGCAGGTCTCTGGCTGGAGGGGACCGGTCACCGACCGACACTGGCAGGTCTCTAGCTGGAGTGGGCCGGTCACCGACCGACACTGGTAGGTCTCTGGCTGGAGTGGGCCGGTTACTCACCGGTCCGGGCCGGTCTCTGGCCAGAGGGGACCGGTGGCTGGTAGGGATGAACCGGTCTTCGCTTGGGGTCAGACGGTCATTGCCCGGCGGTGACCGGCTGCTGCCCGGTGAGAGGCGGTCGTTACCGGGGACTGGCCGGTCATTGGTGGCAGAGGCAGGCCGGTCACTGGCTGAAGAAGTCCGGTGGCTGGTGGGGATAAAGCGGTCCCTTGCCGGGACTGCCCGGTCACGACTGGTTGGCTGGTCAGTGGCCGTCGAGTTCCTGTGGCTGGAAGGGATGAACCGGTCTCTTCCTGGAGCGACACGGGCACTGCCTGGCGCCGACCGGTTGCTGTCCGGTGAGAGCCGGTCACTTCCGGGGACTGGCCGGTCGCTGGCGGGAGAGGTGCGGTGGCTGGTGGGGATGAAACGGTTCTGTGCGGCGAAACGGTCGCCGCTCGGCGAGAGCCGGTCGCTTCTCGGAACAGTCCGATCAGTGCCGGAGGCTGAGCGGTCATCCCGGGGGACCGGCGCTTCCCTTTTCGGAGAGACCAGTTGGCCGGTGGAGATGGACCGGTCTCTGCCCGGTGCGATCAGGTCGCTGCCCCCCACCCGGCACGTGTCCCCGGCGCCGGCGCCATCGCCGTCGTCCTCCAGCAGTCGGTCCAGGCTGACGGTGGAGAAGGAGAAGGTGCCGTCGGCTCCGAGCCGCGACCGGTGGGCGCTGGTCACATCGCAACGAAAGCGCAAGTGGCTCTTCTGCTGGGCGGGCAGCGAGGAGAAGGTGGAGGAGGTGGCGGCGGTGGAGGAGGTGGCGGAGGAGGAGGATTGTCCCTGGTATCCGGTGGTTTGCCCAGCCTGACCGGTCAGACCGGTCTGACCGGCGTCTCGTGACTGGCCCTCCTCGAGACCCTTGCGCAGGGAGAGGACCTGGAATGGCGTCACTCCTCCGCTACTGCCGAAGGACAAGCTCCGGATTCGACTCTCCGTGCCGATGGGGTTGGACTGTTGCGGCGGGCTTTCCGCCGCCGATGCTCTGCCGGCGACTTCCCCGGAGGAGATGGAACTCGGTGGCGGCAGAGGTGAGGTCGGGGGGGGCGCCCGCGGAGGGGGGCTGGTGCCGGTGATGATGTCCGAGGGGATCCGCGGGGTCCGGGGGATCCGGGGGGAGGGGGCGGAGCGACGTTCGGCCTCGTGAGCTCGGGAGAGGTGAGCGGCCGGGGTGGGGCCTAGGGTGACACGGGGGGGGGGGGGGCACGTGATTCGTGAGCGGGTGGCAGTACAGCAAGTGGGTTTGTGGACTTTCAAATCCAAGCGGCCAATCTCTTTCAAGGATGGCAGCTTTAGACTTTTAAGAAGGAGATTCGAAATTTGTATCCCTCCCCCTGGTACCCTGATGTGTGTGGAGTGGCCCTGGTCTATGTTTTCTGGCTCTAAACCGGTTTGTGGATATTCTGCAATCCAATGATGGACATAACGTGAACGTCATTCGGAAAGGAGTAGGCCAGTGTCCTTAATCGCAAGGCCTCGCGGGCCACTGACGGCCCCTGGTGGCCTTCAGCGCGGCCCCTGACATGCGGCCCGCCAACAACACACAAAGAGTGACAACACCCCCCATCCTCATCATCGTCATCGTCGTGCTGCTGTCAAACCGCCAATGGTTTCAAATGTGTGGCGGCAACCTCACTCGCGCTGATGATGTCTTATCGGCGAAAGTTCCCCCCCTCTGAAAATCAGTGAAGGACATTGTGTATTAACCAGGGCGACGGCCGGGTTTGAACCGTGGACCTCTTGCGACAAATCGGCAAACGCGCCGCTAATCGGTGTGTCCACAGAACGCACCGCTGTTGAGCGAGCGGAGGGCCGATCCTCCCTCTTGTGAGTTTGACCTCTCAAGGAGTCTTCTCGGCCCCACCTGAGGTCAGAAAAGTCACATCGTCCATCTCGGTCATCGCGGTCATCGCGCATCGCCGTCCAACACCACCGTTGCCGTCATCATTCAAAAAAGTCGACCGCAGTTGTTGCCCGTCATCACCCCCAAGCATCGTCAACCATTGTCACCCAACGTCATCATCATCATTATCAACCGTCACCCAACACCGTCATCGCCATCAACCATTATTATCCAACATCATAATTGGCCAACATCATCAACCATCAATCAGCCAGCATTATCCATCCCCCATCATCATCATCATCAGCGCTTGTCAACCATCACCCAACATCACTTTCATTAACCATCGTCCAACATCGATCGTCGCCACCGAACATCACCGCCGTTCAACGTCGCCGACCATCACCATTGCCCATTAACCACCCATCACGTCGGGTGGTGGAGGGCATCGCGACACAAATTCGATCGGGTCGTAATGTGGCCCGAATTAAAAATAAATAAATCGTGAATCGAATCTCCACCTTAATTGTCATGCGCCGACGTCATGTAGGCAGTGCCATCGTCGTTTGTGCAAATTGCATCGCTTGCAACCGACCAAGGAACCACACAAGACGAGCTGGAACGCAGCAGTAGCAGCAGCAGCCTGGCGGCGATGAGCCACCGGCGCTACCAAGCTCTGCGGTCCTCGATTATATTTACGGTGTTTCAGCCTTATTGATGACGGGCGTTTATACGCTGAACGGGAGGTGATGGGTCTCACCTTGGGCGAGGGCATGAGCACCTGCAGCGTGGACGTGAATTTGGCGTGCGTGTAAGATGTCCTGGAGGGAGAAGGGGGAGGTTTGTAATTAATGACCACGCTGACCCACCAATTGCGAGGGTCTCTCAACACTCTCCAAGGTTCGCCGCCAGACTTGCAACTTGAACAAAATAAGAATGGGGTTTTACCCTTTTTGGCAATAAAACCAGGAGGTGTTAAGATCTTCAAACACCAAACAAAAACGTTTGCAAGGAATCACGTCTGCATTAACCACACGTAATTGTGGTGAACATGCAAACAAAAACATGCTCTGATAATACATCGGCATTGTCTTTGAAACTGATTGGTCTACACCAGAGACAAAAAGGTCCCATTTTGTAGCTTGCGCTTAACGCTGCATCCAATTGCTGCTGCTGATGATGATGAACTTCTGCGTGTGGCTGATGTTGATGTAGAGCAACAGCTATCATTTTACACTGACGTGGTTAATGGGCCAGATAATTGCATCAGGAGTAGTGGAGTGGTGTGCATCGCTGCTCCGATGATGCCTCCTCTCCTCCTTCAGAGTTGTAACCCAGGCTGTGAGTCATTATATCACGGCCTGTCCTGGTTGACCACAGTCGCACACTGGAGAGTTTTTGATGATCATGATGATGCTGTAGGCCGGGGGCGGGGAACCTTTTTTCTGCCAAGGGCCATTTGGAAATGTATAACATCATTCGCGGGCCATACAAAGTTATCAACTTTGCCTGTAATGTTTGGTCAAACATTTTGGTAAGTCACCCCTAATGTGATGGCCGGAACTGCTTCTCTTTGGCGAGGCGTGTGATGATGTTAGCTGGTATTGATGATGTTGCTACTCGCAACTGCTTTTCCAGGTTTGCTCCTAGATTTGTTGAATTTCGAGTCCCGCCTGCGGTTGCCTTGGCAGGGCCAGAGACCCAAATGATTTCGCGGGGCCTCATATGGCCCGTGGGCCGGACGTTCCCCACCCCTGCTATAGATGCTGTTGATGCGGATAGCACTGATGATAATGATTGTGATCATGTTGCTGATGGTAATGCTTCTGTGCTGTTGCTGCTATTTCTGCCACTGCCGATGGTGCTGCTGATGATGATAATGCTTCTGCTGCTATCAAAGATGAGAACGATGCTACTGCTGATGACGATCATTCTGATGTTCCTGCTGCTGCTACTACTGCGATGCTGATAAGGCTGCCCGACGACGACGCCGACGACGACGCCGCCGCCGCCGCCGCCGATGATTACGCGCGTGACATGACTCACACGCTGGTGGAGCTGCTGCTGATGACGTGGGTGGACTCTTCCACCACCTCCTCCATGTCCACCTCTTCCGTGAACCCGCACCCGCCGCCTCGCTCGGGGCCTCCTCCTCGCCTCTCTCCGCCGAACAGCGAGAGTTGGAGGCTCACGGTCGGAGCTCGGAGGCTCCGGAATTTGCTCTCGCACACGGACACCATCCGCCCCAGGGCGTCCGCCAGGGGAGACGCTGCGTACCGGGAGGAGGTGGGAGGAAAGCGGAGGACACGGAGATGAGCTCACGCGCAAACAGGGGGGGTGGGGGACTGGACGTACGAGCTCCACTCCACTCTGGGGGTGGAGGCGATGGTTTCCGTGGAGCAGTCGCACCCCGTCAGTCTACAGCTCCCCGACGGTTAAAACTAAGTCGAGGGGGACAGGCAGGGCCCGTCCCCTAGGGGTATGGTGGACTGCCCCGGGCCCCGCACTTTGGGGGGGCCCACACGGTGGGGTTTGCCTTGAGCCCCGCACCCCCCTCCCCTCCCCCCCAACTCCTATAGACGGCCCTGGGGACATGGCACGGAGTCGATTAGTTTAGCTGTGTGTAGGAGCTGTTGCCGCGGGGACAGGATCTCGATCCATGTACCTATATGAACCCAATAACACTGTGTGGCCCTTAAATGGAGAAAAAAATGACATGATTATCGACGTTTCGGGCAATGGTTCTTCGCCCTGGCATGCACGTGTGTGTGTTGTTGCCGCAGCATCACCAAGTGGTTTGTTTACATTAGTGCATGACTTTCGCACCTCCAATTAGCACGTTTGGCTACGTATGGCGCGACAGAAGTTCTACATACGCACGTGCACTGCTCTGTCTACACTGCTCTGGCTGTGCGGCGCTGTCAGCAGGGAGTGGGAGTGCAGAGGTTAGCACGCCGCGCTACGAACACAGTTCCATTCACGCTCGTGGCCACTAACACCAGTGACGATAATTATCCGAACCGGTCCTGGGCCTCCGCTAGGTTGACTCTGCCTCAAATGAGCGCCTGGTGCGGTGTACAGTAAACATGGCCACGAGGGAGACAAAGGCGGCCGGGCGTGGTGCTGGCCACCCAACCCCCGCGTGTGCCGTTGCTGGTCTTCGTATCACGGTTGCTCTTCGCTAATTTTCCGAGGGGGGCGGGCGGCGGGGGGGGGGGCACTTTCGCCAGTAAGGCATCGTCAGCGTGAGCGAGGTTGCCGTCACACACATTTGAAATCATTGGGGGTTTAGATCTTGACTTAAAGCTCTCGCGACTGCAGGAATTCATATTTTGTGGGTCTTTCGGTAAAGTCACGTGGCTAGAAATGAAAATATCACGACGTTTCGATCGCAACGCAAGCGATCGTCATCAGCCGATTGCTTGCGTTGCGATCGAAACGTCGAGATATTTTTATTTCTATCTACGTGACTTTACGGAAAGACCCAAAGAAAAAGAACATTGGGGGTCTTTACAGCAGCACGATGATGATGTCACTCTGTGTGTGTGTTGTTGGGGGCCACATGCCAGGGGCAGCACTGAAGGCCACCAGGGCCGCCAGTGGCCCGCGGGCCCTGCACAAAGTACCCTGTCAGAGGTGCTGCTTGCTAACGGGTCTTGCCCCAACAGTCTGTTACGGCGATACGGGGGACCTTTGTCTTCGTTAGGGGATGAACGTCAATGCCTCAATGTGGCTCAGCTGAGCAGCGGGGAATTGCTCTGCTCTGCGTCTAACCTGCTACGACTACTCCCTGCAGTGGAATAGCAAGGTTTGTCACGCAAACAAAGCGTGCCAATTAGTTGCTACTTCTGCACACCGGTTTGCGGGAGAGTGAACCCACAACGTTTACAAATCGAGCACAGTGACGTTTCGCTGGTGATTACACAGCAACCAGCTTCATTCATCAGGCGATTTGCCAGAATTGTGACTTGGTCCTCCCATTTGGGTCTTAAATCGGGGGAGTCCACGGCAAGGACACTTTGACTTTCACGCCACCTAACCCGGAAAACTTTTTTGTTATGGATAATATTGGTCGCGAAATCCTACTACGGCTACTACCACTTTCTACTACCAACTACTATTACCGCTACTACTGCTTTCTATTACCAACTACTACTACCGCTACTACTAATTTGTACTACCAACTACTACTTCCGCTACTACCACTATTTCTACTACCAACTACTACTACCGCTACTACTACTTTCTACTACCAACTACTACTACCGCTACTACCACTATTTCTACTACCAACTACTATTACCGCGACTGCCACTAATTCTACTACCAACTACTACCGCTACTACTACTTTCTACTACCAACTACCTGCCAAATACTACTACTGCTACTACTACTACCGCTACTACTACTCACTACTACTCACAACTACTACTACCAACTACTACTACCGCTACGGCCACTAGTACTACTACCACTACTACCACGTGTCCAACTACTGCAGTCGAGAGTCTCATCGCGCCGTGATCCCAGAGAAACTCGGTCCCAGCGAGGTGACACCAGAAAGACGGCGGGGCCCCACGTGGGGTGGAAGTCGCGGGGGTGGGGGGAGGAGGCGTGGCCTCAGGGCTGACAGGTGAGACGCCTATTGCGTACCTGGAGGTGTTGGTAGCAAAGCTGTGTGTGTGTCTGTGTGTTTGTGTTTGTATTTGTGGGGAGCAGTCGTGCGGCGGTTAGCGCGCTGCGCTACGAACTTGGTGACCCGAGTTCGACTCCCGCTCACGGCCAACACCGATTTTATCTGAACCGGTCCTGGGCCTCGCCTAGGTCGACTCAGCCTCAAATGAGTACCCGGTGCGGTATAAAAAAAAAACCCATCGCCACTAGGGAGAAAAAGGCGGCCGGGCGTGGTGCTGGCCGCCCACCCCCTCGTGTGCCGTTCTGGCCTTCATAGGTCCACGTTAACTGCACTTGCCCCAACAGTCTTAGAGGCTATACGGCAGAACTTTGTCTTGGATGTGTTACTTTATGCGTGTCTATTTGTATATACTGTATAGATTTACGGGGCACGGGTGGTACATCTACCAGTTTTTTTTAAGTCAGTCAACCCATGGCACCTGGGTCTGTCCCGTGACTTGTTAGCGAGCCTTCAATACCACGACATAGTGGAGAATGGCGGTTGATGTCTTTGTTTCTGGACGTATATCTTTGTTTGTACTGTGTGTCTGTGTTTAGTTGTGTGTGCAGCGCCCGTTTACACACAAAGACGGCCGGGCGTGGTGTGGGCCACCCACCCCCTCGTGTACCGTGCCGGCCTTCATAGGTGCTCGCTAACAGCACTTGCCCCAACAGTCTGTTCAGGCTATAAGGGGGGTCCTTGTCTTTGTCTTTTATGTGCATGTGTGTGTGTTTTTGATAGGTGCTCATAAACACCACCTGCCCCAACAGTCTATAGAAGAAGGCTTTACAAGGGATATTTTTAAGTGCATCTGTATGTCAGCTATTTGCCGTTTTTTGTATGTGCACGTATGTATGTATGTGTGCATATGACTTCGGCAAGTCCACTCGGTTCCACATCCTCCTGTACCGCATCAGTCCATGAGTCCATCTCTTTTCCAGGCCGTGTCGTGCCCATTTAGCCCTGTCTATGCGGCCAAACATGCGCTGCTTGGGCATGCGGTGGCTGGGCATGCGGTGGCTGGGCATGCGGTGGCTGGGCATGCGGTGGCTGGGCATGCGGTGGCTGGGCATGCGGTGGCTGGGCATGCGGTGGCTGGGCATGCGGTGGCTGGGCATGCGGTGGCTGGGAATGCAGGCCACATGACCCAGCCAACGCAGCCTTGCCTGTTGCAGGAGCTCACTGATGGGAATGTGTTCATATCTCTCAAGGATTTGTGAGCTCCTCAACACAATCCAGCCTGGTTATATCCAGGAGATGGATCGTAGGCAGGTCAGCCTGAATGTTTCTAGCCAGCAGAGATGTTCTATTAGAGGAGTCCACGTTTCACAAGCATAGGGAAGAGAGGGCATGACTGTGGTCTAGAAGACCCGAAGCTTCGTGTGGAGCGAAAGACTAGGAAGACTGGTACCAGCGGTGTCAAGATGGCCCTCAATGACGGAGGTTCGTGAAGGACGCTACCGGTCAGTTGGAGGTCGCCCTCCAACAACAACAAAGGGCAGAGGCGTGACGCTCACAACAATGAGCGGAGGGCCGGGCGGCTAAAATGCAGCAAGTTGACACAGGCGCCGTGGTCATGCCACCGCCACTTAGTGGCGAATGGTGACTGTTATTGTTGTAGGGGGCAGTGGTATGGGCACCAGCAGCAGACCACCCGACTCATTATAGCGCCACCACCTTCATTAAACCACTGTCGTCTGCGTCACGGAGGAATTACAAAACTCTTAACTCCCGAAGCCCTCCCGTGGCTAGTAGATCTCGACATTGGCATCCAGCTCCTGAATATATTGCTGCGGCTGCTGCTGCCATCATATGTAAGATTGTAATAGAAACACGACCACGATCACCATTACCATTACCACCAGGCCATTCGTTACAACGGCACCATCGCTACCAAGGGGGTCGGCAACCTGCGGCTCTGTATGGACTGCTTCGTGACGTTATTTTATTAAGAACCGTCTCGTATGCACACGGAATTGCCGCTCTTGAAAATATTGATGAGGCGAGGGGGGGGGGGGGGAGTTTACCGAATTGGATTTGTTTACTTATATTTTTATATTGCTGACCGACACGTCATCACTACCAACACCACCTGCAGTAGTAGTACCACCACCACCATCATCATCACAACCATCGCCATCAAAGATTCCCCACACAGTGTTAACAGACTGTTGGGGTAAGTGCTGTGAGCGATCCCCTATGAACGCCGGAACGGTACACAAGGGGATGGTTGGCCAGCACCACGGCCGACCGCCTTCGTCTCCCCAGTGGCGATGTTTACACACCGCACCAGGTACTCAATTGAGGCCAAGTCGATCTCGGTGAGACCCAGGAGCCGCTCAGACAATCGTCGCCGGTGTTGGTTGTGAGCAGGAATGGAACCCGGGACGGCTGGGTTCGTAGCGCAGCGCGTCCGCCTATCCCTTTCCCTCCAATCGTTACACTACCGTCCCCACTCACCACCACCACCACCATCATCACCCCCCCACCCCCTACACAGTGCTGGATTATCCTCGTAGCACAAGTAGCTACACATGTTACGGGCCCCGCACTTTCAAGGGCCCCGCACTTTTAAGGGCCCCGCGCTAAACGCTTTCAAGCGATCAATTCCGGTTCAGTGATTCTGCACTTGCTCTATTACTACAGTACTATACCGCCTTCAACTTTTACGAACGACTGGGTGTTTAAGGTTAGCGATTTGTCGTATTATCCGGCTGCATGGCAAATGAAAACGTAGCATTAATTTACTATGCAAGTTAACAATGTGTGTTTTAATATTTGCGTTTTTATTTCATGTCGGGGCCCTTTTATAACATACTCTACAGCCCCCCCGCCCCCACCCCCGCACGAGCTTAACCCGGCACTGCTACGGCCGCTGGCTCCTTACCCTCGGAGTGTTCGCCGCCCGCGGTCGCCGAGCTCGGCACCGCGAGCTGCTGGGCGCGAGGGTTCGAGTCGAGGCGATTCATCACGGCCACCTCGGGGCACGAGGCTCGGTCCGACAGGAGTCGCGCCCCGGGCCGGTCTCCGTGCCTCTCCAACAGCTTCCTGCGCGCGGACAGCGAGCACATCTCTCTCCGTGTCTCTCCTCTCTCCCAGTGTCTGTCTCGCTCTCTCTGTGTCTCTGTCTCTCTCTCCGTGTCTCTCCTCTCTCTCCGTGCTATCGCGCTCTGCCACGTCTCCGATTCGTGTTTTATCCGTGTCTGTCTGTCACTGTTCGTCTCTCTGTATCGCGCCCTGCTACGTCTCTGTCTGTTTTGTGCACGTGTCCATGTCTGCGTGTGTCTTTCTGTGTCTATGTCTGCGTGTTTGTGTGTGTGTGTATGTTTAACTACATTGTGTTGTCTATTCTGTGGTCCCGTCTCTGTGGTCGTTTGCTGTCTGCCTAGCAGCCTGTCAGTGGCTCTGTCTGCCCGTCTATCTGTCTGTGAATAGCCGCCTCTGTAAGCATGTCATCATGAACGTATCTCTTCATCTGCTCCTTCCCTTCTGCGTTTCTCTATCTCTCTCCTTCCATCTGTATGTCTTTTGGTCTCTTGTTCTCGACTGTGTCTCTCTCCGTGTCCCTCTCGTTGTCTGTATCGCTCTTCATCTGCTCCGTTCCCTCCTCTGTCTCTCAGTCTCTGTCTGTTTGTCCCTTTCCTTTCACTTTCTGCGTGTCTCTCTCCGTCTCTCTTCTCGGGTATGTGTCTGTCTCTCTGTCTCTTTCTCGTCTCTCTATCTCTCGATGTGTCCGGGTGTACGTCTCTCTCTGTTTGTCTCTTTCCCTCCTAGCTGCGTCTCTCTCTCTCTCTCTGTTCGTGTGTCCCCGGAGTAACTAGCGCATGAGCTCACGGCACAGGTGTGTCTCCACACTGAGGCGGACCCGCCCCACCCTCTCACCCTCCCGCTCACTCTCCCACCCTCTCACCCTCCCACTCACCCTCCCACCCGCTCACCCTCCCACCCACTTCGCCCACTCTCTCACTCGCCCGCTCGTACACCCTCCCGCCCACTCTATCGCCCGCTCACCCACCCGCTCGCTCAACCACTCTTCCGCCCGCTCAACCACTCTCCCGTCCCGCTCACCCGTTCTGCTGCCCGCTCACCCACTCACTCACTCAACCACTCTCTCTCCCGCTCACCCACTCACTCACTCAACCACTCTCTCTCTCCCGCTCGCCTACTCTCCCGTCCCGCTCACCCTCGTCTCGGGGCTGTGGTTCTGGGTGCGGCTCTGGACGTGCCCGTGCAGGCAAGCGCCGCGGACGGTGCCAGCACCCAGACAACGGCGTATTTACGCCGTCAGCCAACCCCCCCCCACCCCACCCCCCCCACAGCGGTTACATTAATTGCAGTAATACAGCGATGGCGCAGAGGTTAGCGCTGCACTGCGTTGGGAACCACTCGAGCAGAGTTCGATTCCACGGCGATAAGAATCGGTGCGCGGTGATATCCGAACCGGTCCTGGGTCCTTCCCCACCACCCCCACCTGCATCTCTCACCATCCCACACTGGGCACGGTGGTGAAGTATGGTCGTACAACGCTTCACAACCGACTCGGTGCGGGGAGGCCTTCGTCCAACAGTGGATTGACCATGGAATGTCTATTGTTAGTAATCACTGTTGCTCCTGCCGCTGTTCGACAGCTCTGCGTGTTGTTCGGCACGGTGTCCGACGTTTTGCTGCATGTCCTAGGAGCTTCGTGAGTAGCTGAACTGAGATAAATACACCCCGCACTTTCGTCATCGATGACGAGAGAGTTGTCGCTGGTGGCGGAAGGACAACAAACTAGACACACAAACAGCAGTTCTACAGAAATGAGTTTTCAATATAGGCGATTTAAAAGTGGCATAGCTCCAGTGGCTCCCTAATATTGGGAGGAAGAGCGTTCCAGACGGCCACTCTAGCGCATCTGAAAGCGCGCAATGCAGTGACCGTCTGTGTTTGATGCTTAGCCGCTCACCCACTCGCTCACCCTTCCACTCACCCACCCACCTATGCATGTAGATACGTTGAACTTCTTTCCCACCGTACGTAGCCAGCCGCGCTAATCGGAGGTGCGTGGGGGAAGAACAACAAACTAGACACAAACAGCAGTTCGAAAGAAATTAGTTTTCAAAATTGGTGATTTAAACGGGAGGCAGGGGCGAGTCTACGGGTGATATGCATTGGCAATCGATTGCCAATCGTTTAAAACTACTTGTCAATGCTTGTGAGGATTTCCTTCCAGTCAGGTTCTATCGTTCTTGATTTGAAGCTTTCGTGACTGCAGGAATCCACGCTCTTTGGTTCTTTCGGTAAAGTCACGTGGGTAGAAAGGAAAAAATAATACATCACGATGTTTCGATCGCAACACAAGCGGTCGTCCTCAGGCGGAAAAAATAATCCAGCAGTGGAACTGATGAACCAGCGAGAGAGCTGTTCTCTCGCTGGCGAGAGAGCTGTTCTCTCGCTGGCGAGAGAGCTGTTCTCTCGCTGGCGAGAGAGCTGTTCTCTCGCTGGCGAGAGAGCTGTTCTCTCGCTGGCGAGAGAGCTGTTCTCTCGCTGGCGAGAGAGCTGTTCTCTCGCTGGCGAGAGAGCTGTTCTCTCGCTGGCGAGAGAGCTGTTCTCTCGCTGGCGAGAGAGCTGTTCTCTCGCTGGCTCAGCAGTTCCACTGCTTGTGTTGCGATCGAAACGTCGTGATATATTATTTTTATTTTGTTGTTATTTTTCTATCTACGTGACTTCACCGAAAGAACCACAGAGTAAGGTTCTATCGTGTCTCTCGCGTTGCGTTCACCTGCCCGTTCGGCCTCTAGACCTCTCTCTCTCTCTCGGCCCGTGGCCCCGCAATCGACGAGGAAATCCGCGGAAGCTCCGAGTCGGGGGGGGGGGGGGGAGAACTCACGCGGATTTCTATTGTGCCGTCAGCAGTGTGCCTCGGTGTCCCGGGCGACGCGGAACACAGCGAGGGCGCGCGTGATCAACAGGCCGCACACGCAGAGGAATGCCCTGTGCGTAATGACGATGATTGATGATGATGACGACGACGACGTGACATTGATGATTTCCAACACAATGATCTTGACGATGATGATGATGATGTTGAAGGCGATTAAAATGGTAATGTTGGATACGATGCTGCTGCTGCTGCCGCGTGGAACAATGATGATGATGGTGGCGATGATGATGATCCATTCAGCAATAATGATGATTGTGATGATGACGATTGTGATGCACTTAACAACGATGACGACGACGATGATGAGAGTGATGAGAATGATAATGCATTCAACAATAATTGCTGATGTTATGCGGAACGACGGCGATGATGATGACAACTGATGATTTGTGGCATTGAGATATATGCTCTGCACGATTGGTGATGATGATGTTGCCGATTATGATGGTTTAAACAACTAGCTAACGCTACGTAAATGTTGACTTAACGCTGCGTACATACACGCTGTAACAGAGAACTCGCTCACCACTGACTGCACGAACAATAAACCCATTGCGTCAAATTAAACGTTTCACCATAATGTGGACACATTCCGACTCTGGGAAATTAATCACTGCCGGCTGGGCTGGCACGTGAGCAGTGGTGGTGGCGGCTACGCTGCTGCTGCTGCGGCAAGTGTCTGCCTCTAATCCAGCGCTGTGGAGGCGCCGCGGTGGCTAGGAGATGTTAACTACCTCGCCTGGTATGCAGGAGGTCGTGGGTTCCATCTCGAACCTGATGCCTGCTGTACATTTGTAGTTTGCATGTGGCTAGGAGATGTTAACTACCTCGCCTGGTATGCAGGAGGTCGTGGGTTCCATCTCGAACCTGATGCCTGCTGTACATTTGTAGTTTGCATGTGGCTAGGAGATGTTAACTACCTCGCCTGGTATGCAGGAGGTCGTGGGTTCCATCTCGAACCTGATGCCTGCTGTACATTTGTAGTTTGCATGTGGCTAGGAGATGTTAACTACCTCGCCTGGTATGCAGGAGGTCGTGGGTTCCATCTCGAACCTGATGCCTGCTGTTCATTTGTAGTTTGCATGTGGCTAGGAGATGTTAACTACCTCGCCTGGTATGCAGGAGGTCGTGGGTTCCATCTCGAACCTGATGCCTGCTGTATATTTGTAGTTTGCATGTGGCTAGGAGATGTTAACTACCTCGCCTGGTATGCAAGAGGTCGTGGGTTCCATCTCGAACCTGATGCCTGCTGTATATTTGTAGATTGCATGTGGCTAGGAGATGTTAACTACCTCGCCTGGTATGCAGGAGGTCGTGGGTTCCATCTCGAACCTGATGCCTGCTGTATATATGTAGTTTGCATGTGGCTAGGAGATCTAACTACCTCGCCTGGTATGCAGGAGGTCGTGGATTCCATCTCGAACCTGATGCCTGCTGTACATTTGTAGTTTGCATGTGGCTAGGAGATGTTAACTACCTCGCCTGGTATGCAGGAGGTCGTGGGTTCCATCTCGAACCTGATGCCTGCTGTACATTTGTAGTTTGCATGTGGCTAGGAGATGTTAACTACCTCGCCTGGTATGCAGGAGGTCGTGGGTTCCATCTCGAACCTGATGCCTGCTGTACATTTGTAGTTTGCATGTGGCTAGGAGATGTTAACTACCTCGCCTGGTATGCAGGAGGTCGTGGGTTCCATCTCGAACCTGATGCCTGCTGTACATTTGTAGTTTGCATGTGGCTAGGAGATGTTACCTCGCCTGGTATGCAGGAGGTCGTGGGTTCCATCTCGAACCTGATGCCTGCTGTATATTTGTAGATTGCATGTGGCTAGGAGATGTTAACTACCTCGCCTGGTATGCAGGAGGTCGTAGGTTCCATTTCGAACCTGATGCCTGCTGTACATTTGTAGTTTGCATGTGGCTATGAGATGTTAACTACCTCGCCTGGTATACAGGAGGTCGTGGCTTCGATCTCGACCCTGATGCCTGCTATATATTTGTAGTTTGCATGTGGCTAGGAGATGTTAACTACCTCGCCTGGTATGCAGGAAGTCGTGGGTTCGATATCGACCAGACGCCTGCTGTATTTTTGGAGTTTGCGTGTCTCTCCCCGTGGTATTGTGGCT